ACAACCCATCGGCGCTTGCCGCTTCCGCAATTGCCGCTTCTTCTCTGCATGCATGAGGACTTTCTCCTGCACTTCGGCAACTGCCTTCGTGATCAGATCACGCCATGCACGCCGATCAACCGGCTTTGATTCCCATAACCTGCAATCAAGATTAGAACGTGAGAGGCTCACTTTGATCATGTTCTGGTAACGTAACTTTGATTTCCCCACATGCCGCTTCCCAATACTCAGCTGACCATCTAAGACTTGTTTCGGTATCCGCGTCGAATCCACACGGCTCACATGACCGATCCACCTCAGGTGTCTCAGCAAAAGTATGCAGTCCACTGCATACATTCCACTTTGTCGCAACACTTCCGTGTCCGCAACTCTGTCGCCCCATCCGATGCGCAAAATCCGTCGCAAGCACTTTTGATGGAACCGCTCGAGATATCGCACATCCGGCCGGTACGTTGTCCACGTTTCACTGCCGTATAGAAGAATGGACAGCACCATGGATTTGTACACCGTCAGCTTCGTGCTGATGGTTCTTCCACAATCGATACGCTGGCTACACGAATGCTGCCGCTGCCTTCGACACGCGGATACGCAGCTCACTGTGTAGCTGCTGGTCAGTCGACATCACACTCCCAAGGTAGCAGAAGCGAGTGGTTTCCAATATTTCACCACCAGTGCTGATTCGCGGCAATATTGAAGATTGCACTTCGGGTGAAGGCTAAAAGGGACAGACAGTTTTGCTTGTGTTGCTGGTGAGCCCGAATTTGGCCGCTGTCGAAACCAGAGCACTAGTCATGTGCTGCAACTCATCCGCACTGTGTGCAAACAATGCACAGTCGTCAGCAAACAGCAACATACGGATAGTTGTCTTCCAGACTACAGTTCTCGCACCGAAACGAAGGATGTTCAGCAACCCACCATCAATACGGTGCTCCACACGAACACCGTATGCACAAGACACCATTGCATGAAGATGCATATTAAACAGGGCAGGAGCTAAGACACAGCCTTGCTTCACACCAGAGACAACTGCAGAGTCATCCGAGGTCTCTCCACTATGCTGCACCCTCACATGCATATCACGGTGCAGACATTTAATTTAACTTACGAACTTACGCGGGCAACCAAAGTTACCCAACACCGGCCACAATGCCTCGCGGTTCACCGTATCAAATGCCTTGGTGAAATCAACAAAAAGTGAGTACAATAGCTGGTGTCGTTCTCTGCACTTCTCCTGCAACTGACGAGCCGCAAACACCATATCTATAGTGCTGCGACTCGAATGCATAGAGATACGGTGACATAACTCTTCGCTAAATTAGTATCTGAAGTAAGTTGGTTAGCAACGAATCCACGATAAGTAAGAAATGTCTACAAGTTACTTAAAAATGCTACAAACGCAATACAGTTAACGGAGATAAGCGCAATTAGCGTAAGCGACGTGGCCAGTTAATAGATTATTTAAGTACGCAGAACATACCAAATAAAGTGGAATGAAATTTATCCAGCTTACAAAGACCTAGTTTAGGTGTAAGTTGATTTAGCCCAACTGTGGTGAAGAAGCTTCATGTATGCAACATCACCCTTAGCTTGGCGCACATACATACCTTGTTGGCGACATCCGGTTTCGTACTTGCCTGTCACTGTGGCCAGCCACAGAACGCCTGCGCCTACAGGGGGACCATGGGTGGCTTGCGCTGCACCACCCACAGTTCCATCCACACGCCCCTATACCCAGTGTAAACCCGAAGGAATAAGACCGGGAGGCATGTGGATGAGAGCCACGTCTCGTCAGCGGAGCCGGCCCACACTCCTTCACAGGCAAACACAAGCATACTGTATTTGGGAAACAAGCACATACAAGGCGGTGGCTGGACCGTAGTTTGCTCCACACTGAGTGCATGAAATCGCTGATTCTAACGCGGCCACAAGGACCGTGCACCTCGTCCCCTCCAGCTCTGATCAACTGTCTTCTAGAGCCAGTATGGACGACGTGGGGGGTAATGGACAGGTAGGCACCTTGTCAACATGCACGTTAAGCGCAGGCACATCGGAAATATTGCGCAACAGCCAATCATTGCAACGACGAGATGAAATAAAATAAATCGGATAATGCATACAGATACGGTGACATAACTCTTCATTAAATGAGCTTTTAAAAAGCTAGTTATTTTTAGCTGGATAAATTTCATTCCACTTTACTTGGTTTGTTCTGCTACCTCTGTAATCTTGTAATTTGCCCACATTGCTTATGCTGATTGCGCTTGTCTTCGTTAACTTTATTGCGTTTGTAGCATTTTTGCGGTAACTTTGGACATATTGTACTTGTCGCTTATTTGTTGATGACCAACTTACGTCATATGCTAATTTAGGGAAGTTATGTCTGCATACCTGTATGCTTTGACATAAATGCTTCCTTGATTATGTTATTTCAAGTGATTGGCTGTTGCTTGATATTCCCCGTTTGGCTGCGCTTGATGGGCATGTGGACAAGGGGCCTACCTGTCCATTTCCCACAACTTCGTGCATACTGTCTCCAGGGGACAGTTGGTCATTGCTGGAGGGTACGGGTGCCCGGTCCTTGTGGCCGTTCTAGGCTCGAAGAATGGTTCTATGCACTTAGTTTGGTTCGGACTACGGTCCAGCCACCGCCTCGTGTGCGACTGATTCCCAAATACAGCGTGCTTTTGTTTGCCTGTGAAGGAGTGTGGACCGGATCCGTTGATGAAACGTGACTCCCATCCACATGCCTCCCGGTCTTATTCCTTCGGGTTTACACTGGATATGGGGTGTGTGGTTGGAGCTGTGGGTGGTGCAGCGCAAGCCACCCATGGTCCCTTTGTAGGCGCAGATGTACTGTGGTTGGCCACGGTGACAGGCAAATCCGAAACCGGATACCGCCAGCTGATATATATATATATATATATATATATATATATATATATTTGCAACAGCCTATGAATAAGTATGGAGCCATCAAAAACCGTGGGACTCAAAGTAAGGTAAGATATCGTTAGGAAAAAAGATAACAACTCGGAGGGATCCATGGTTTTTTCAGATGTCGAGGTGCTACCCGTTTGCCCAGGCCGAAGTTAGGTGTTGACTTAGGGGACACCGCTCCGAGCCTTTGGCCGAATGGCCTGCCTGCATTGCGGCGGAGTGAATTTAGGGAACCGCGCCCATTGCGAGCCGCTGACTGATTCCCATTCCAGTGCTTTCCACAATTTCAGCATTAAGTCACTGGAATACAATGCTTCATCAGTACGAAGCAAGGAGCAGTGACTTTAGTTAGTGGCGAGTCATATCCGCCACATCACAGTGTTGTTAAACGGACATATTTGGCTTTTTATAGGGAGATCTCTTGTCAGGCGTAAACGCACCACGTCCTGGAACAGTGCAGCCGGACGATTTACTGGAACGGGATAGTCCCGAACCACCCAGCTGGCACCACGAGGAGTTTGTCAGGCTAGCTTGTTTGTTTTCTCTACTTCAGTATTGCTGATAACGTGGCTGATTGACCAAAGCCAAGCACAAAACAGTTGTCTTTCTTGACTTAAAATTCGCCTTGGATTGTTGATCGAGTCAGCCTGTGGCATTTCCTGTTCTTGAAGAGAGTGCCTTGAGAATTTCTTTCTATTCTGATCTCTCTCCACACGGATTTGCAGCCTGTTCTAGTGTGGTGACCGTGTAATAAGCGAATATGCGGACGATATTGCTCTTCTTGGGTCTGACATTGTCTATGCACTGTTGAAGTGACAGACGCGTAGCATTGCACGGTTCAGCATGGGCTTTGCACATTCAGAGTGCAGAGTACTGTTGCAAGACTGGACTTACCTCCAGTTCTAGCTATTACCAAAGAGTCCCTGGAAGTGGTGGATCGTTTCACTTGGCCACTGTTTCATCTCTGGTGGTCACATCACTGAGGAGGATACGTCACATACCAGCAAGGCCCGTGTGACGTTCCAGAGGCTCAACCATTTTTGGAGACGGCGGCATGTCAGTCTGTCAATGAAAGGTAGGATATACAGCGCTGAGATAACGCTGGTGTTACTGTATGGATCAGAGGCCTTGCCTGTTCGCGGTGAACACATTAAACCCTTGATCGTGTTTCATCGCCGATGGTTGTGGAGTATTGTTCACGTCTGATGGGAACACCGGGAGAGCAATGCTGTGATTCGCCAGTTGATTTCCGGCAAGAAAAGCTTTGGTGTCTCTCGAATGTTTGTTGGATCTTAACCGCTTTCATTGTCTAGGTCTTCTCCCGTGTGCCCGTTGACCGAATTTTTTGGAGTGCATTATACGCCGCCGCCGTAACAAGTTTGGCGGAATCAGGAAGTGGCCAGTGGATGATGCGGCATAGAAGCATGAAAAAATTGCCATGTAGACTTGATCAGGCCGCTGCGTGCTGTCTTCCTGACTGGGGACATCGGAATGGTCCACATTAATGGTTAGACTCTATCAGACATTCGCAATGACGTCCCTGCATTCATTTTCTTGCACCTAGCTATTACTTTTTTTTCAATCCCAATCAGTTTAACGCACTACTTGATTCTGTTTTTGTATTATGTTTACTTGTAACCTAATTTACTTTCATTATTGTTTATTGTTACTCTAGCGAAGTGAGTCGTGGGGACTGGATCCATTGCACTTCGCTGCCGGGATCAATGTTGCTCAGTTGAATTGCAGTGCTGACTGTAGTTGTAAAACGACTGACCCAATGATATGTTTCACATTAATCATTGTACTATTCGGTATATTACAGTGCTGATTGCTGTGGCTTACTTTATTGTACCTTGGCCGATTTCTGATATATCGTACGTTTTATCTGCCTACAAATGCAACTCTATCATCACTCGTACCAAATTCCCTCCTCGGCCACCCTCCAGCTTCGTTAATTCACTGTGTCCCAATATTTTCCTCTTGTTTGGCTACACCGTTCTGAAGTTTCCAGTACTCTCTCGACTTTTACACTTTTTGTTCTGTTTGTTTTTACGTCACTTTAGTTGCCAGTCCACTATCCGGATGCGCTGTCTGCTGGAACGTCTGTTGCTGACACATCCATCATCTACTGTGAGGAAACTCGCTGCTGCGGCCTATTTATCTTTAGCGCCTCTTTCTGGCCCTTGTTCTTTGCGGCATGTTTGCTGTCCTGATCTACCCTATGTTAGTGAAGTTGGCCCTATACGTTTGCTGAGTATCTCCGAAGAGTATGCCTCGCCCTTTGAACCTACTGCCAACGCACTTCATGGACAACTATGCCTTATACTTGCGTGGTTGGAACAACCTTTGGGTCAACCGCTTTTGCAATGCAGAAGGTCGTAAGTCATTTTGCAGGGCGTTCTCTCTATTTTCCGGTTGCGATTTGACAGAAATTTATTGTTGCGCCACTTGTCCTTCACTTTCATTTTACCTCACTCAGATTGGTCTAAAGCATATGATAGTTGATAAAATATCCCAGTTTGGGATATTAGAAGTAAGGTTGACGGACAAACACGTTTTCACTGGTTCGTCAACAGGATATTACATCATAAAAGTTAACTGGATTGCTAATCTGGTCGACCCAGCTACGTTCGAAAGCGGTCACAGGCATTGGGTGGAATTGTCCACGCCGCGCACAAGTGTGTTGAGTACACTGAGTGCACGGACAAAGTCCTTTTTCGCGCATAGGTTTGGGTCATATAACCGAATGGTGATCTCTTCTGTGGCTGCCAAAAAGCAGTATGTAACCACCCGTCTATACTGGTTACAGGAGACAGTTGGTCGTTGATGCAGGGGACGGGGTGCACGGTCCTTGTGACCGTGTTAGGCTCGAAGAGCGGTTCCATGCACTCAGTGTGGAGCGGACTACGGTCCAGCCACCGCCTTGTGTGCGCTTGATTCCCCAAATACAGCGTGCTTGTGTTTGTCTGTGAAGGAGTGTGGGCCGGCTCCGTTGATGAAACGTGGCTCCCATCCACATACCTCCCGGTCTTATTCTTTCGGGTGTGTGGATGGAACTGTGGGTGGTGCAGCCCAAGCTACTACTGGTCCCTTTGTAGGCGCAGGCGTCCTGTGGCTAGCCACAGTGACAGGCAAATCCGTAACCGGATGCCTCCAACCAGTTGTCTTAGAGCACAATTTGGTGGCTTAATGGTAGGGTTTTTGACTGACACCTCAAAAACTTTGATTTTGATTGCAAACGAGTACGAAACCGGTCTTGGAGTGCAGTGTCGCGAGCAGCACTCAGTGATCAAACTGATTAGGGTTCACTTCAATGGGAATCGCGGTCTACATGGAGATTGCGCGCCGCAATCCATTCACACAACGAGTGCTCGGAAGTGAGTGACGCCTTTTTTTCAAGGGAGAGACGTCCTTTCACGCTGTTCAGGCGCTTGCATCTAAGCACTATAAATCTGCTTTTTTCGCAGTATTTTATTAACGTTCTTGTATGTTCACATCAGCACCCATGTAACTAGTGGTTATTTTGTTGTCTATCATTTTCCATCGGTTTTTGTCTCGTTAGTTATCAGTTGGATCTGTTTCGACATTTTCTGTACAGGCATTTCGATTGGGATCAGGGATTGAGCCTGCTTCATCGGCTTCTTATATGCAGGTGCCTCAATCCAGCTGCTCTCTACCTATCCTGCTGCTTATGCGACGTTTTAGCATCTGCCTTTGATTCCAATCTGTCTACGGCTGAAACTGTACGTTCCAGGTTCACATGCTGGATGAACACACATTCCTCCCAACTTTTCAAACTCTCTACCACAGTGAGTACACTCATGAGACCGGATACGATTAGATCACACTTAATGTTGCCTTGTGAATTACGATTCCTTTAGAGTGTTCACCGACTTGCGACGCCCATTGCGCGAGGATAGGGCGTCTCGGTATGAGGCGTTCAAGAGTATTACGTTATTTGGACGGGTATGATTACCGAGAATTTGTCGTATCGAACTGATAGCGAGTTCCAGAGTCATTAAGTGACGACGAGTACTCAGTGTATTCCCATTTGATGTAAACCAAGTTCTGAGAAACCCGGATACATTGTAGTTAGTCTGCATCCACAGTTCTCAACCATTCAGTCCGCACCTGATTTGGTTGAATTCCCAATAGGAATAGAATCAACAATCACGGTTATAGTTTTCTAATAATCGTACCATCGCCGCTTTTGATAAAACACCCACAGCCACTTATCTGCAAATTCATAATGCAAGATCTGGAATAACGTTGACTTTGGTGGCGGCCGATTAGAACACCGTGTGTTTGCATCGCTTTCGGGAAGTTATGAGGAAGATAGCAAGTGGTTATCATTAGTTAATGAGCGACTTCACACTAGTTTACGTATTCTGTGGTTGGTCAGCTCTACTTGTCACCAAACCACATGAGCAAAAATGCTGGAACAAGCAGCCGGACATCAGCGGATATGAACACGTCTACACGTGATGGACTGTCAATGGTTATGCGGCGACTACCAGCAAACAAATCGAGGATGTATTTTGCCTCACCATTATATCAGTTCCATCGTTTTGTAACCTTAAAGCTAATCCAAGCGCGAATCGACCAGTATCAGTAAAGCACAAATATATTTGCCCATCCTCAAGTTATTTCGCTCTCGTGGCTTCTAGAACTCAAGTCAAGTCAAAATATGCCTATATTCACTCATATGAGTGTATTTTCAGCGTTTTCACACTAACGCTGCGAAATATAATACAACAAAACATCAATGAGAAATAACAATTGGTAGCAGTAAACGAAAAAGTGCATCTTCAGTCAAGCATATGGTCGATTAGTAAATATGATAGATTAGGCGGGATGGAGTTTCGATACGATTGAGGTACCAGAATATATAACTTTAAATTTTGTCCGTGTGGACGAAGTAGCTCTAATGCTGTCTAGGGTAGCATTTAAAGGGTGAGAGGAGTCACTTAAAATCCTAGATGAGAAGCTGCTTCATGCATCGAAATGCGTGTTAACAATGAAATCAACGGGCGGTTATCTGGTTAATTCAGAGCAACGAGAAATACGTTTTGGCGAACGCACAAGGATATGGATTTTGAAGAAATTCGTGGAAGACCACGGAAAGAGTGTAATCATTAATGAAGAATATATGCAATTACAATCCTTAAAATTAAAGCACGGAAATCGGTAAGCATTTTGACCCTAAGGGCATAAAAGGGGAGCCTTCTAATTTCTCTAAAAGTTAAGAATCTGTGTAGATCAAGAAAAATTGTGAGATAGGAAAATTCCGCTGTTTTACGGTAGGTGAAAGAGGTATGCTTTCGTCATCCACAATCATGGGACCGCAGTCTGTTGGGATCTAGAAAACAGGACGTTAAGTCGCAACACTTGGGAGGGAGCGACCGGGAGCTTAACCAAGTCACTATTTCGTCTCACTCTCGTTGGAGTTTCAAAGAATCCTCGACGACCTCAACATATGAAGTTTGATGGAATAGGGAGACTTTCAATGTAGGCGGAGAATATAGAAGGGCACGGCCCCCTCAAAACGCCACAATTGGCTTGGAGTACCGAGGACTCTCTGCCGCAAAGCTGCGTGAAGTGAGTGCGATTCGTTAAATAGTCACGCATAACTACACAGATACAGGGGGACGCCATTTTCAGACATATATTGGGCAGTAATTATCTGTCGAGGCTCCTAAAGGTGTTGGTTTAATAAAGAAATAGGCGCCGTACGCTCTAGCATCTATCCAATAACGCGAACGCAATGGAATACCCCAGATAGGAAGCTGTATCCAATGTTGAGCGCCCTGGTTTATAGGCAAACTATTTGACATCATCAGTATGTGACTGTGAAAAGTGGGATCAGTAGTTTTCCTGGTATCTTTCGCATCACGGGCGTGCACGCAATTGGCCGATACTTTCGAAATCCCTTTATAGGCGCTGGTGTTATTCTGCCTGTTTTCCAAATGCCGGGGATAGTACCAATGGTTAAGCATCGATTCAAGAACTCTATCAGCGGTGTCGTCAAAACATCTAGGCGTTCTTTTAAAATGACCGCTGATAGAGCCTCCGACCTACTAGCCATGTTTGGCTTCAGTTTTGTGAGCTCCCTGTAAGCACTTGTTGAACGAAATAAAGCAGGGGGCTCAGTAGTGATGAGAGAAGGCAAGGGAGTATGTTGGGCGATGAGCAGCTGAACTCAGCGTTGAGTTTATCTGCATCCTCGGTGATGAGTGTACTGAAGGAATTTTTCCGGGGAATTGACCTAGAAGCTTGCACAGGTCACGACAACTATGCCTGAAACGGTCTGAATGTACAGTGTTCACCCTTCTTATTTCAGCTTTTAGAAACAAGGATGGATGGGCATTTAGCTTATGTTTATAAGCCTGTTTCTTTTCCTCCGCAGTTGCTTGAGCAGCGGAGATGAAAATGTGTCATCTCACAAATAGATCGTCTCAATGGGGCAACACAAATCAAAAGAGAAGTTCATGTAGTCTGTGAGGTGTTCAAATTGAGCTGACAAATCTTCACTTGTGAAATTTGAAAAATCTGTTGAATAAAGTGTTGATGTAAGTCTTTCGATGTTATCTACCGACCAGTTCCCTCGTTTAATAGTTCTGGGTGGTCTTTTTGTCGGTGCAAAATAGTTGGCCTTACTGTGTAACTTGGGACATTGCTTTACTGTACAATGATCGTAATTACCAAGGGGTGTGCGCTTTTGTGTAGACAACAGTTCGAGTGTGTAGGGAAATTCAACTTGTCTAAACCCATGGTATGAGGGAAAGCTGTGTCACTCCTATTGAAGTTGTCGGCGAGAACACAGATGGAACATACTAATTTTGGTTGCAACTGCAAAGCCAGGTACGCTGCAAACATTTGAAACTCGAGCAGCGCTGTGCCCGGGGTTACATACATTTTTCAACTACATACATCAGGAAACCGCTAAGAAACGTTGGTTTTTACTCCAATAAGTGACAGCTTTAAAGCGGCCGCGTGAAGTATATCGGCAGGTTTTACTGACTACTGGACACTCACTTCTAGCTACTGTGCTGCATCATTTAACTCGTTTTCGTCAATCTTCCTTCCGATTGTCCCTTGATATCCCTAAACAGCCATTTCACGAGGAATGCATTCTGTCACTTAATTATCTCGCGCGGCGCATTACCAATGAAATGCCATACATGAGCTTTACAATCTCGCAACATTTGGAACCTGCGCGCCTCAGTCGATTCCTGCACAGCTCCGATGACGATAATGCACTATTAGAATGTGTGCCGGTGTTTATTCGTCATTGGCTCAATCAAACAAACTTGACCTCTTCATGTGCTCTCCTCTGCTGGCGCTTTGTGGAGTTGTGGGCCACGGGTTTAGTACAACGCATTACCCCAGTCCTCCAGACTATGTTCTCCCACGAAAACGCTCTGTTTGTCTTACGCGCACTGCTCGATGCGAATGTTGCTGGCTCTCGGGACTCCTTACAGCGAGCAAAAGTCTTGGTGTGCGCTGCCTCTTGTTTGGATGATGGAAACAAGTGAGTGGTGATGGACAGTTTATTTATTGTTCCCGCTCATCGGATGTTATCCACTTCAGTTCAAACTGAAAACGTGCGCTTGTAAAGTCCTGAAACTGTTGCCATTCGATCAGCTCAGTCGGGGGGCATCACTGACGCTTTTCACAGTACTTGACACCTGTCCGGTGATTCTTCAATTGTTCATTGGATCCCATTCGATCATCACTTTTCCGATCAACCTTATGTTTTCTCGTTTTATTCATAGTTCATGTCCACTTTGGTGGGTTCACGAAGTATTCTTTTGCATGGACCCGAACTTTCCCGAAGCAACTCGCGCTTTCGCTTCGGAGGCGCTACTGCTCTGGCAGGAACGTATAATAAATGCCAGGAGTGATGACGGTCATGCCCTCACAACCTTCAGTGAAGTGATGTTGTTATGTGGGTTCGAACAACGGAAAACGTGAGTTACTGAGGTTTTTTCTCTTGTGTGTTTGTAAAGCTAGGTTTTGATACGCTTGAAAAATGAATTCCGAAAAAACTACATAGGCTGAAGGGAAATCAGTTGTGAACAATGATGAACAATTATTTATAACGGGTAAAAAAGCAGGTGCTTGATATGTCCCGTAGGGTGTTTAGCGTGACAAAAAAGCGAAGGGATAATGGAGTCGTCAGTTTGGGCGATTACAGATGTAACTGCATTGTCGTATAAAGGGAGTTTGAAATGAGAATGTACGCACACAAAGCAATAAGGTGGTTATTGTTCACATAATAGGCGAGAGAAGATAAAAAAGATGGCAAGGACAACGCTTACTCGTGTGCAACTATGTTAGGTCGATAGGATACAGAAATCCAGTTTCTATAGTAGTAGCGTTTATCAAATTTCGTGCAAGGCGTTTGGAGTGACTCATTCTCGAGTAGGGTTATGGCACTATCCACTGTCTGTTGTACATTAGTGCCAGCATCTGTTGGTCATGGGCTATAGCACGTAGTGTAAATGTGACAGAGTATCGTCAGGGCGTTTTTTTGAAAAGGGATAGGGTGGGTGCATTAATTACATGTTCCGGGATGGCGTTCCAAGGCTGTGCCACTCGAAGGGAGAAATAATTTCGCCGACATTCCAGGCGGCTGTACTGCGTGACTAACTTAAACTGGTGACCTCTTAGCGGGGTGTTTTGACTGAGTATTAGAAGGGAATGGCATGGGTGGTTGGGGTTTCTCAGGATCCGGTACACCATTATGAGATCGCCCCTTAGACGCCGATAACGTCCACTGTATATTTTGAGGGTCTTCAGCCTGGGTGGGTAGGGTATGCTGGTCAAACCTCTGACGCTCATCGTTGCCCTACGTTGTGCAGTATCGAGCGCGGTGAGATGGTGGTTGAACCAGGGTTGCCACGCTTGAATAGCGTATTCCGCGTGCGGCCTCACGTACGTACTAAGCGTTTTTGGAAAGACTGAAGGGTCAAACTTCCCGAAAGCTCTGCGAAGAAGGCCGAGGTACTGGTTTGCTTTCTTTAGCTGCCTTTTCAGTCTGCCTCAAACAACCGAGGTCGTCTTGAATTAGCACGCCGAGATCGTACTCGTGAGAAGCCCGCTGTAGAATTTGTGGTCCTAGGCGGTACTTGTGCATACTGTTGTGCCGTATGCCGAGAACGTTGCACTTGGTGACGTTAAAATGTAGCATGTTCTCGATGGACCATGTGTACGCTTTGTCCAGGTCCTCCTGTAACACTGTGTGATCCTCCACTGCAGCTATAGTGCTCTATACCTTTAGGTCATCAGCAAATAACAAACAGTTAGAAGATGCACGCTCGCGAGATCATTTATGAAAACTAGGAACTGTCGGGGTCCAAGTACCGAGCCCTGAGGTACGCCACACTGAACTTCGATGGATTCCGATAGGTTGCTTCGAACCCTCACATCCAGGTGACGCTGCACGAAGAAGTCTCCTATCTAGCCCAGAACAGGATCGCCGATTCCATATTTCTGGAGTTTGTGGAGGAGAATGCGATGGTCTATACGGTCGAATGCCTTTGAGAAATCCAAGTATGCCGCGTTGACTCCTACACCAGCGTCCACAGATTCCGTCCAGCTTGCACGAGCAATCGAGAGATTAGTGGTACAGGAGCGATTTTGGCGAAATCCATGCTGTTCCGGAACGAGAATTTTGTTGTTCTCCAGGTACCTCATCAAAGCCTCAGCTAGAATGGACTCCATAACCGTGGAGATCACAGGAGGTAGTGTTATCGGGCGATAATTTGTTGGTTCAGCACGATTGCCACTTTCCTAGCTTGGCGTGATGGTTCCGTGCTTCCACATCGTGGGGACGTGCATCTCGTTCAGACATCGTTGAAAGAAAATTGCTAGTGGTCCTGACAAACTCATGGCAGCAACTTTCAACGCCTTCGGGCGAATGAGGTCCGCACTCGGGGAGCTGAACTCGCGCAGAGACATCAGCCTCTTCAGTGCAGCTGCGGAGGTGAACGATATGTGATAAAGCCCTGATGGCGGCGTTATCTGCTTAGGCAGGATGTATGATGATTGCGCGCTTTGGAATGTACGGCCAAATTTTTGTCCAAGGACCGTCCCTTGTGCAGTTTGGGCTAACCCGCATGCTGTGTGCAGAGCAGGAATACCGCGCTTAACACGGCGCAAATCGTTTACGTGTCTGTATAGCAGTTTGGAATTGGAGCGAAACTTTTCCACCAGACCTTGTTGGTACTTAAGTTTATCCTCCCGGACGATTTTGACCCAGTGGTTTCTTTGTGTTGTGTAGACGTCCCAGGTATCGTCGTTCGGGGAGGCTATGTAGGTGTGCCATGCCAAATCCCTTAATGCTATGTATTTACGTGTCCTGTTCCTTACGAAAGGCTTCATCCTTTTAGGCCGGCAGAGTTTTGTTTCAGATGTCCTTGCCACGAGCTTGGTAAATATGTTGACGAATTCTCCGCAGGCCACCTCATGGGTTAATTCAACTAAGAACGACTAGCTGGTTGCATCAATGAGGTCGGACAGGTCGTCATAGTTGGTTACGACATGATATTTCTCGGCATGCTCTTTAGGATAATCCGCGTAGCACATGTAATGAAACAATAGCGTCGCATGATCACTGCGGCCCAAAGGAGCATCGGTTATCACTCTCTCGACCAACAATTCTTCATTAGTGAATATTCGGTTCAATATGGATGGCCTGTCAGTCCCCCTGAACCTGGTGGACGTGTTGGCGTGGCCATAAAGCGGGAAGTCTGAAACCAGATCTTGCAAATATGCTTTGAATTGCTCCCCAGGTGTGGCCCGGGATTCGAGGGCATGTAAGTTGAAGTCGCCAGTGACTAGAATGTGACTGTACTTCCTGTGTATCACTTGCCTCAACGCATTGCACAGTTGTACTTACAAGAGTGTCGATCAGTACATTGTTCTCGCCCTAGTAGCATTTAAGTTTCTTGACATTGACGCTTTCATTGGCACGTTTTAGTCTGCTAGTCCCTTACTCGCACGATCGATGCAGTGACGCAAATCTTCCTGTAGTGCATTCGAAGCCAGCTTCAGTGTTTTATAACACAATCATGTAGTAGGGACCAGTTAGTATCGCGCTGGAAATTCACCTCATGTACCTGTAACCCATCGATAAAATCACAGCTTTCCTTTGCAAACTGTCAATATTCTGATATACCCGTAACTTGATACACTATTTCAGTCGCCGTTTTCCCCATTCTCGCACCCCCAGTTTGTTGCACGCGGTTTTTCGTTCGCTATTTGATGAGTGCGCTGAGATTCGATGCAAAATGGGCACATTCGTCGGCAGATGTTGTGATCAGAGCACATCGGGAGGACACCCTACTCATATGCTTGCAGCCAATGTGTTGCTGGACAAAGTCCTTCCGTTGTGGTTTCCCACTTTTGAAACTCAAGTACAATGGATTTCGGATATTTGGATTTCGATCATCCAAAATGTATGCCAAAGAATCGCTGAAGAGACGCTTATGAAACGAAGGTATACCAGTATCCACTCTGTGACTGACTCTCTGACTGCTTGTGCTCTTGATCGCGTGACTGTGTTTCCATATGCACGATGTTTTCTTAACTATGAATCCGATAGTCCAGTGACCTTTGTGAAATGTGCAAGTAACCGTAGCTCAGCATTAACCAAACCGATACAGTGGAGTCCTCGTGTAACGCCAAATCTGTTATCATGTTAGGGTATCATTTGATGGCATAAATTGACGACTGAGCAGCTAAATGGTTGGGTTGTATACTTAGTTAAATCACGTCGTAACGCAGTTCGATTTTGAGATAAAGATCGTCACGTGCCGAACCCCGATCGCTGATTAATTGTTTCTTTTTGACCGGACCTCATTTAGGCCTAACATCAACCTGGATGCCATCCTCCCATTGACTCCGTGCCGTCATTGAGTAACGCGTAATCCTGGGATCTTTTTCATGCTGCTTAGAACGTTCGTTTACCCACAGTTTACATTAGAATAACAACGGTAGGTATGTTTATAGACGATTCCTCGTAGTTATCTCCCAAACACATCTGGATAAGCAGTGGATTGCCGTTTCGTCAGTGGTACGCACCCCTTGGCTCCCTCACAAACCGAGCCCGTCATTCATCGTCATCAGTATACGCGTTAGCTACAGATGGAAAACACCTCAGCTATTGTGCCACGATACAAAAGACAAGAAAAAATCAAGAAAGGCACGCCGGCTGAGTCCCCAGTAACGGATGGACCACGTTCTGGAGAGCTAACAGCCGGCTGTCGTGCCGCAAAAAGAGTTATATTACGTCTAACGAATGAGGTCGTGAATAGAGGGGGGGTGGACAAAGGAACGCACAACACAAACACCATTGCGGCCGGTTTCTAGCCATATCAGCAAGTATGTCCAACCAAACGTGTTCACCGTCTTTAGAACCCCAGCCGGGATGCACCAAACGACGCCAACTTTGAAGTAACTGAGCTCGTAACCTCTAGACACCAGCGAAATGTGCTATTATGCAATGGGTGAGGCAGTAGACCTTCATGACTGTGGGTTTTCTCTTACAGCAGCTATGCACGATAACATTAAGAGGCGGTACAAGCGAATTTTCGTTAATCATGTGTAGATTTCCGGTACAATCTATATATCATCCATCGCAATTGACTTCTGTCTAAACGGCCTTCCACACGTTGGACGACCACAAGTTGACTGCGACGAATTATCTCTAAATTGCATTGGAAATCCGCTGATCATAGGCTATTATGTTTATCAACGTGCGAGGAATGTACCCGCTGTTGGCCTTGCTACGATCGCCAAAAGTTCCTAAAATAGACTGAACCAGCCCTCACTGCACTGCGCTTGGAATGGAAACTGGTGCTCAAAGGACGATCGATGCGAAAATCCATCTAGCATTAAACACCTACTTACCTGTGGTAAACATATGTGAAGCTAGATCAGCCGAAGCGCACCTTGCGTGGTTGTATCGTGCGGTCCGAACCGCGTTGCAGACGATTAGGCCACCGTGACGTACCAGTGATTTGGTTTCTCGACTTTGCGAGGGTCGTTTTACTGACGCCTTGTTTGATTCATAGAAACGCCTGCTCATGTTATGTGCCACTGTCTTGAAAGTCTGCAGTAACTTATCGTCTGCTAAACTGTCTTGTACAAAACTGCTACATGAATGCTGTACTTTCAAACGTAGAAGCACCACTTGGATGGGCTCTTTGTAAATTTGAATGATTAAGCTAACCGGAAGTGACACTACAACTATTTGGCTTATGACATAGCAAATGATACAAAATGCAGTGTTCGTGGTTCACTTACTCTAGCGACTTTGTACCATCTCCAGGATCGTCCACATCAAACTCTATCGCGTTGTATTTACTCCCTCTTCTATATGCAAAGTTCTGTGTTTGTCTTCTCATGAATCTGCCCTTCTCGGAAGTTCCATTTTACAATTATCTTTCTCAAGGCAGCAGTAGACTCAGCCACATAACTATAACACCCATTTCTTCCTACATGAACTCGCCAGTAGCATGTCTTTTGATAGTCCTACGGTATTAGAATTCACTATGCAAGGTACAGTCTGTGACTCATGTTATTAATCCATGACCACAGTACTAACTAATCTAACCGCTCTCATCCTTCACTGCGGTGCACAGATCGCGGCTGCCCCCTAATGCTCCACTACTTTCGCGAAACCGCCAGTTGTCTTGGGATGATTACTGAATAGGATGTTTAGAGACAAAATTAGGTTCCCTACATCGTAAAGGCGATAATGCACTGATTGGTGGAGGCCATGGGTCTTATAAGTATCTATTCACATTAGAAGTGGCTGAGATTTGAGGATTCCCAACTCAGATCCCAAGTCAGAGATGTCTACGTCTGCTTCCAGTCCATATTTCGTTGGTCCACCGTCAGAATCAGTTATATACTGTCAATCAGCATCCTTGGCAGCGTCAATCAATATCATCATTTGGTTAATTATCTTACCCTGGTCATGCAGAAACGCTCTTTACGAACTAGAAGCTGAAAACGCCTTTTGCGAACCGCGACTGTTACTGGAGCTGCTTTTCAGGAAGTTGTTGAAGCAAACCCCCAACGAAGAAGTGAGTGACGATGTTCAGTTCTCACTGTGTACTCTCCGTATGTCATTCTAGGTTCCGGTACTTGGTTAACAGGCGTCCAATCGTCTACCTGAAGTTGATCCTCAGATACAGAATTAACGAAAATCGTTGACAATTTTTAACTCTTGTGTGCCCGGAGAATATGTATCGAATTGTCTGTTGTTGATGGTATTTGCCGCTTCCCTAGTATTTAGCCGCAATTTTGTGCTACCAAGGTCTTGTTCATCGTGCCCGAGGACAATGTGTCACAGATGCTGAAGCAAACATTTTTTGTCGGCTGTTAAACATTATGTGATTACTATGATTACTATGCCACTCCGTCCTCTCAGCGCTTGGTTTAAACCGTCCATCGTTTCATATTCACTACTGATTCTAAACTTCTTTTGCAGGATCGAGCTCGTCTGTTTGATCGTCTCAACGAGAGTGCGGACCAAAATTTGAGAGAAATCTGTGCAACTTACGACATTGAAATAGAAGAATTGGGAATCCCGGACTATGGATCCGAGTACATTACACTACATGAGATTAGTCCGGCGGCGTTCGCTTTGTACCTTTATCTCAGAATTAGCCCATCTACTTTTGATACATGTTCCCTACTTGAATTCACCCAGATTATTTGAATATTTTCAGTGATGTTTTATACTCTTCAGGGCATCATACTTATGCCAAATCGCGACAAACCACTGTTACCGTTAACAAAACTCAGTTATCTACCCGGTACCTTGTTTCGTGTGTGCATACTTAATTTTCAAGAAATAGTGAGAAGATACCAAAAACGTTGTCCTTACCGTCATCGCCCGGTCGCATGTTTTTGAAAGAATATCAGACAAAAATGAGAGCCCAGAAAGTGAAGAATTTATCGCACTACAATTCATTATTCTCATGTGGCACGGGTTATCAGCGGTGGTCCACAAGATTGTTTGCGGGAGCGCGTATCCCTGTACACATTATTTGAGCTTACTACCGGTACAAATCCACTTGGTTCTGCCGCTAAAGCTACGCACTTGCAGTCCTAGAGCGTTTTTCGAAGGCACACATTTCAATCACTAATTAAAATTTTTCAGCTCATTAGTAGTGCAAGTTTGACCTAACAGACTTCAAAACGCTATGTGGCTTTATATTTTGCATGGCAGTCGATGGCGGGTCGGGCTACATCGCAGTCAGCTTACAATTCGTGATGGCCGGCTATTGTCCCCCGTGCCTAGTGGCATAAGCTGCTGTGCAGTTGGTGCAAACCACTAGGGGCTACGGGTACAATTCCCTGAAGGGAATCGAGGGAATGCGCACCCCTACTTTTCGGGATTGTTAATTGCGCTATCTGGATGTAGGCTAGTAACAACGAACTCAGTTACTCACTAAAATCCTTCTACTCATTAGTGACACGTTGCTATGTCCGCGTGCTTGATTTTACTAAACCAAATCATTGAAAATAAAAACCATTATCCTGTCCTTGCAACATTAAGAGCAAGCAAGTATCAAAAGCGATATTTCCGCGTGGAAATTACTATGCACATTGTGTCGGAAAAAGATTAGACGAGAACACAGTCTCAACAACAGCACGTCGATCAAAAGGACTTCGGCAAACGAGGATGTCGTGTGGTACTGTGTTTCTCATTCAGGAGTACTGCTTTCTTAGCAGATGAGGCGATACAATACTGTCAATTGTGAAATTACGAGAGTTCGTCCGTGGGCGAGCAGGGTCTGCAATGAACGGGGACCCGCACATTAACGGAGGAGACGATGGTTCTGGGGATGCAAAGTGAACTTGCGGCGTCGACTTGGACGCTAACGTATCTAGATTCGGTACGCCTGTGACGGGTCGCTGGGGCCTGCGGTAGTAAACAGGTGTACCTGGTTGAGATGGGACGGATTGGTCAGAGGTTCGGGTAAACAGCGCCTCAACATTTTGGTGGGATTCAACCACCCGATGAGCTCCGGCCACTGGAGGTCTGGTGGACCAACCGTAACGGGGATCAAGACATGGCTTATTTGCGGAGTTAGTGAAGTCTGCGAGCGTTGGTGGCCTACCCTCCGGGGAAAATTGGGAACGCAGATGTGTTTGAGGGGGTGCCGAAGACAGCGGAAGTGGATGTGTTGCCTGGGTCGGAACAGGAGTGCACGGGAATTGATACAGCGACCGATCTCCAGAGGGTACTCTAGGAAGATGGTCCGAATCCACTCGGTGAAGGGCGCAGGACGTGGGAAAAGCGGGTGCGTATTGAGCTTTGGTGGGTGAAAGGTCTTTCCTTGAATGCACCGGCTCTGACTGCTTGGTATGCATTGCTCGGGGTAGAGAAATGCCCTCATAACTACCACTACCATCAGCCTCTGTGGTAGCGTTCGCACTGCTATATCCGACGGACTTCGCACCGTCCTGTTTAAGAGAGAAAGAGGAAAGTCAGTGCAACTGGGACCCACCGAAAAACCCAGACCATTTTCAGTGAAACAGTTTTGTAAGATCAGCCAGAGACTCGAACATAAGAAAAAAGTTTGATGCTGAGCGAAGTCGTCAAACGACAATGAATGAGCAGTCGAACTGCCGAGCTCAGTGAACACTCAGACCACCAACTGAACAACCTGAGCTACCAACATTTGCTTCTATATCAGAGTAAGAGTGAAGTAAACATGGAAAGCAGTGTGACAGAGAAATCTGTCTGAGACGTTCGTGCCCCGGACTCGAGCACCATTGATAGTGAGGATACGGTTTCGGCTTCATAGCAGTGGTAACCATTGATGGATGAAAGTAAGTGATTAGCGCATACTGAAGGGTTGTGATAATCATTGCTAGGGCCATTACTGTCGTGTAGTCCTCCGAGAGTCAAAATAAGTCTTGGACAATGATCGAAGTCTGCTATTCACGAATAACAGGACCAGTTGTGTCAAACAAACATTTGAAGCGCTGTTCCACTGCAACAATTTTGAACCGGCTAGTCCTCATTTTCTGTGCTATACCGTCTACCTGGATTCATCCGTCCATACGCGCTGGCCGTCGTCGTTCCAACCCGCGTGGGTTACGTTTCGTTAAAATACAACTAGCCAGTACCACATATAGTTCGCATCATGAATACATTGGAAGAATGGCATTTACACGTAGTGGGCTATCTATGAAGTTTGCAAGAAACACGAATGAATATATCGGAAATTTTGCGAATGTTTATACCTTGTGATGTGATCTGGGTTAATTTGGCGCTGTGCATCAAGCACAAACCACGGGATTGGCTAGCGATGAATGCTTGACTCCAGCTGCTCACACGAAGTGCCACATCGAGTAAAAATGACTCAACTCGACCTCAGTACGCAAGGGGGCATTCGGAGCGCAAAATAAAATAATTGGCAATCGTGTACTCGGAGTTGGATGCTGCCGGAGGACATACCCACTTCACACTGTGCAACGTGTTACTTGGGGATCTAACTGGTGTCCATCTCTGAATACCTGTTCACACAGGCGTTAAAAAGCATTATGCGGTAACTGTATACGTGTTCGCGATCCAATGATCTGAGTGTACGAATCGAAGCTGATGCACTTGTTCCTCCCTCCAACAGTAGGAGTTTAGAACAAATGTTAGCGAACATGCTCGTTTTCAGTGGTTACTGTACCCTTATCTGATGTTTACACTCATGTCATTCATTTGTGGTGTATTAGCCTGATGAGGGACCACTGAAAACGAGTTTGTTCGCTAACATTTGTTCTGATGTCTACTCCCGAGATATTTTATCAGTTGGAGTTTAGTAACCCAAGTTTGGCTGGCGTCCTCTAAAGACACTTATTAAATGTGATCTGAGCATATAATAGATTAAGACAAACTTGGATTGGCCGAAATGATTTCAAAATAATAAAGACTAGTTTCTTTTCTGAGTTAGATCAAGAAGATAACAGATATTACGTTAGTTCAATAATCTGGATCACATTTAAAAAGTGCCCTCAAAGAAAGCGAGCAGAAAATGAAATAATTTGCGCTGGGTCAAATGCGATAATCTAAGCACAGTGGCCGAACTCACCGTTGTCTCTCTGCCGATGGACACGTGTAGATTTTTTTGGACGAGGCCATAGCAAATTATCGAAACGGGGGGTAATGAGGCGATCTCGCAAGAGACTGTTAGGTAATGAATATCCGGGACACTAAACAGGCATCTAATCAGCCGTGGTCGCAGATCCGAGGTGCGAATGTGATGACTCGAGTTGACATGGAAACGAGGTGATAACAACACGCGGGAGCAGTGAGTCTGCGGACACGAACCGGCGGCTCCTGAGCACGTGATAGTGGCGCATAAGTGGGAATCGAAACCGCGAAACGTAAATAGCGTTAAGTGTGGCGTTCGATGCAGGGGTTACATGTGCACGTCCATTCAGAATAGTATGTCTCTTTAAAGAGAGCCCCACTAGATATGTAAGTGGATCGGGCAGAGTAGTTACACGCATAGCGTACTATCACAGACAAAAACCAACACACAAGACTTGAGAAAAAGTGCGTCGAGGATATGAGCGAAAAAAACCCGGAACCCACCAAGTGTCATACACCAATTATGGGTTGAATCGATAAGGGCGTCGGCGCTCATTTAAACAACTGGGAGAACTAGTTTCGAAACTTGTGCACAGATCCACAAAAGAGGAAGCATCTGTAGATGAGACTGGACTTATTGTATTGTATTTGTCCGATGTGGCTTGCGCATCGAGTAAATGGTACTGAAGTCCACCAATTGATATTTGGTTCCGAGCTGGAATGGCTGTCCAGCTCGAACCGGTCAGGACATACCCCGGAAACCAATGGTTCCGGTACGTATGGTGCTTACCTTGGTGAACCCCCGAGTTAGCCGGTTGATGATATGCTAAGAATAAAGAAACTCAGAAAATGTGATTAGCGCACCAATACGCGTGGCTTTCCTCCTAGATGGCTGTGCGGCCAGCTATAATAGGGGTTAGATAGTGCAACCAAGAAGTCGACGCTGTTGTTGCCTCCTCTCCGCCCGACTTATGACTCAGCGACTTCACCAGATGGTTTTATCTGTCTGTCCTTGCACATTACTACTGACAGTATTATTGTCATTATTTAGCGAAGCGAGGCAAAGCAGCTGGATGTCATACACATGGACGCACGGAACATGGATTGGACAACGGAATTGGCCGTACGCATCCGATTCAATGATTCTCGAAAATAAGGGAGCATTTGGACGATGTGGAAATTCGGCAACATAACCGCGACAGAACGTAAGCATTATTCTTCCTAACATCACAGTTACGGCTATAAGAAAATTACTTCAACTTGCGATTGTTAGGTTTCTCGATATCTAGCGGGAACTTGGGTTAGTTTGAGGCAGATCTCGGCCATTCCAGTCACTGTGACTGCCCTTTTTAGAAAAGTACTGCCGCTGCGGGCTTTTGTCATACATGGTGATGGAACGAAACCACTCGCTCGTAACTATACTGGTCGTTGGCTGTACAGTGAATGAGTTATAACTGCAACAGTACCGAAGGCTTATACTGCATGGGTATATGAACTAATTCATGAGCCGTCTAACACTCCGATATTTTAAAAGTTATGGGAAGTCAGAACAAATGCAAAGAGGTGTAACAGTTAGAAATGAGCCATTACTGGGATTGGCTTATAGCGCCATCTGGTGGCGAGTGGAATATGTGCATAACAGTGCAGGATGTGTGGCGCTATACTGTGGATGCCAACACCATCGGCTATAATATCACATTAAGGGTGCGAGCCGTGTGAGTCTTAGCTTCTCAATGAGTGAGTGGTATGTGCACCGCTGAGGTAACATGAAAGCACAAAACCAGCATCCAGTGGCTATCGCCGGTTAGATGCGGATGTGACGAACATTAAAAACACGACATTTCACAAACAAAAAAGTCGTTGCCAGTTACTGATCTGCGTGACTGATAAATTGCGGATAAGTAAGTGGTATATTTCTCGGCTGTGCGACGCACAATCCAACTGAATGATCTGATCATTATGCACAATGGGATCGCATGGAGCAGATTGTTTTTTTTTTCTTGCATTTTCCAAAGCAGTTCTCAAGTACCTTTGGGAGACTGATCGACTGTCTTTCGGGAAAATTGTGAGGTCGCCAATAACGACAGTGATAAATGCGGATAAATCGAAATGTTCAAATGAAGCAATACAGTCATCCATGGAACAGTCTCGTGGAGACCTGCTACCATGTGGGGTATTCTTTGGAGCACTAGATTTACCGTGGCAGACAGTCAGTGCGCTGTTTGATGGATTATTACGGAAACCGTACCTGCAATTCGGAGTTTTCGCAGTTGTTTAGAACGGAGTCAGAGGAAAGCGGAACGTCATTGGCTTGCTCGCGGAGGAACACATGATCGACTTGGCGAAGTGGTGCCACTGTGCTGGATGAGAACTGCACTGTTCGCGTTCCTAAAGGTGTCATCAGTTGTGCGGCAGATTGCAATTGCACCTCATCGGTTTGCGCTCCAGAATCAGCCAGACAAACGCGGTATGCAGTGGCGACCTGATAGACAGAACTGACAGCCACCTTGACAGGCAACGTCTCCGTGTGAGGATTTAGGTGCTTGATGGTCTCTTCCTCGTCAAACTCAGGCTGCCGAGTGATGAGACTGACCCCTATTGGTCTGGAGGATGATTGACCACCACTCGATAACGGGAAACGACGCTTAACATATGGAGCTGCTGCGCGAAAACAAAGGATGAACATTAACAAGTAAAGATCAATGTATGAAGTGATAAGCATTAAGAATGAAAAAGACTATGATTCGACCAATATAACTCTAACATAAAACCATGGGTTGGAGGAGACTTAAGAATAGCCAGCAATTTCGATGTCGACTAAATTATAGCGGAGACCCTGAAAGAGGAAATTTATTCAGTAGTCTACGAATAGACAACCAAAAAACAGTTATCGTAGGAAGAAAACTGGATAAAACATAGAGCAATCCATGGTTCCGTCACGGGACGTGGTACTATTTGGTTGCCTAAAACTTGTGAGCACCTACCGAAGTGACGACGGTTTGTGTGAGCTACTGTGGTGCTCAATGCGCCTGGGGCGCGGAGAACTACTTGTGGGCGCAGTTTATCGCAACCGCCTGAGTCGTTGCGTGCATTGGCTGCCCCATCTTCGAACCCACATGGGTCGTCCACACTTTCTACTTATGGGCGATTTTAACTGTCCTCGAATACGATGGCCTAATGTGCATTTGATGCCTGGAGATAATGAGTTTGAAGCAAAGTTCGTGGATTTGGTACTTGAAACTGGTGCCTCGCAACACATATGCCAGCCAACACACTCAACTCCGTCCTATCTCGACCTGATGTTAACGAGCTACGAACAAAGAGGGTGTGATGTTCGGATCCTGGAGCCACTGGCTACAAGCGACCTCTCAGTGATCATAGCTGATATGGAATTACCTTTGCTGTATTCACGTCCGCTGGAACCAGCTTACAACTACTGGAAAACGGACTTCGATGGTCTAGCTCGAGCCGCGAGCCAACTGGATTGGTCTCTGTCACAAGTTGCATCTGTGGAAGACTGTTGGATATTTATAAAAGAGAGATTGACATCATTGTGTTCCCAATTTGTGCCATTGAACTGTCGGAAGATTGGACTGATTAAGCCTCAATGGTTTGACAAGGAGTATGGAAATCTGGCTCGGAGGCGGCGCAGACTGTGGGACAAATTCCTCCTCTCTGGCTCTGCCAATGATTACAAAGGGTATAAAATTCAGCGAAGCCTCTGCAACAGGGCAAAAAGTAATAAGCGCCGACATTTCGAAGAGTAGCTCGCAATAGCCGCGAAGACCGCCCCAAAGAGAATTTTTGCTTACGTGAAGCGACGCCTGAAGCCGACAGGTGATGTGCCAGTGCTGGATGGTCCGGATGGGCAGCCCCTAACCTCCAGCACTGTGTGCTTTCGCGTTAGCGGCGCACTTCGCTTCTGTATTTGCAAAGGACCAGGTGTCTGTTTTGAGTTCGACGTGTACCGCTTTTACCGGACTCGACAGTCTGGATTACGGCGTTGAAGAGGTAATGTCATCTACTCGCAATCCTTAACGGCAACAAATCTGCCGGACCTGATGGGCTTCACCCACTGGTTCTCAAGTCACTTTTGACCATCAACTCTCCTGTCGTGATTGACCTTTACAACAGGTCGTTGTCCGAAGGCTCGTTGACGATTGACTGAAAATGTTCGGTGGTGAAGCCTATTCCGAAAGGCGGCGAACTTAGCAAAGTAGACAACTACAGGCCAATTTGTCTGGCAACTATTTTGGCAAAGGTTGCTGGGAAAATCGTAAAAGAAAATAATTATTGCAGTTTCTACAGTCAAAATAGGTCCTGACGCGCGTACAACACGGTTTTATGCAAGGCCGCTCATGCATTACAAACCTGCTTGTGACGAGGCATGAGTGGTTGAAGGCAATAAGCAAAGGGGAAGTCTGTCGACGTGAAATTTATCGATTTCAGTAAAGCGTTCGACAAGGTCAGCCATAAGGTTCTCCTTCACAAACTCAGAATGTGTGGTGTCGGCGGCTCACTGCACCGGTGGATCCGCGACTTTCTTGTTGGATGAAAGTGGAGGGTACAGGTCGACGACCGTCTAACTGAATGGTATCCCTCTACAAGTGGCGTGCCTCAAGGCACTGTGCTGGGGCTCACTCTGTTCCTGATCCACATAAACGATCTACCTCAGCTTCTCCGGTCGCCGTGTACCTTTTTGCGGACGACATGAAGGTTTGGAGAGAAATTGACGCTCACGACGACTGTGGCCTAATCCAGCAAGACATCAACCGTCTATCTAATGTATTTCACCATGTTTCGAAAGTTGTATATAATTCATTTCTACTCGCTCTATAATACAGTATTCAGTAAGATGATGTAGGGAGTTGACTTGGGGCCACCATCCCGAGCATTTGACTGAATAATTACTCCGCGTAGAGAGATCACGGCCCCCATTGGGGGCCGGTGACTGATTTTTCAGTTTACACTCCTTTGGTTTGTTGAGTTGTCAAACGGGAGCCCAATATATCACGCGTTCATCCTCCGGATTACAATGATCCAGTGAAGGACAGTGGCAAGTCACATCCGCTTCGTCACAGAGTCGTTAAACAAACGTTTGTGGCTCTTCATAAGGAGGAAGGCTGAAATGCGAAAACCCACTACGTCCTGTAATACTGCCATTGGGCTAGTTGTCGGGACGGGGAAAACCTGAACGATCAGGCTGACATCACGAAGAGGTAGTTCGACGAGTATACCGTGACCCCGGAAGCCGTGACGATGCGACAACGCAGTGTAACTCTACGGTGTAGCAAAAATCAATGGTGTGACGGCCATGCACGATTTTCTCGGGTCGCGCCGGAACGCGAGCGATAGTCTTAATGGTTCAGGCAACACAAATCTCAGCTGCATAAACCCGATAGGAGATGTAGAGGGTATTGTGTGTCAACTGGTGCAGTTAAGATGGAACGACCGCGTGAGAAAATGCGGGTGCCGCCTCCTCTCGCATTCCCTTCGGTGACTCATTCTGCTTCCCATCTGATGCGGACTGTGGCGCCCGGTAGAAGAATGCGAAACCAGATGAATGGGCAAATCATGAGACATTGTCTCGGGAAAATGGGAGTGAACTGTAAGAATTCCAAAGGCTTCCGTCCTCTGTGTATGATGGGGTGGTAATCGGAGTCAGAACAAGAAAAGCACGGTAAATACTGTCAGATCAATCGTACGATCGGTATGCGCGGAGCACGTACACGTAATGTGCGAAAAAGTGGTGTGTTATAAACAGCTGATGGAAATACGATGTGAAAATATTGGATTGTGCTTAGCAGATAGATTTTGTGTCAAAACGGAGAACAGTTAGGCAGTAACCGGCCGATAACGAAGAGAAAAACAAATGACTTCAGATGAGAATGTGTAACTGGATGATGCGAATGGGTGCGGCATAACTTGCCATCATTGAGATAGACATAAACAATTTGTTTGCATTTTCGGGCCTAGCAATATCGCTGCCAAGTTACTCATTATTGATGCTTCTGCAGAAAAAACGGGACCCATAAACGGTAAGGCAACTGGGCCGGATCTGTAACAGACAGGTTTCGTTCTGGTGCGTCGTGTGCAGATTGGAGCGATTGGACTCGCAAGCAAACTCTTGTTTTTCAACTACACACATGGCTTTCCAGATGTGGGCGCGGTTCACCGGTACCCCCCAGTGTATGAAAACACAATACGGACAACACGTGGGATCAGGTTAGTATGTGTGTAAATTATCACACTATCTCCGTGCTTAGAATATACGCGGGTGCCTGACAGAAGCAGCTAAAGTGAGGGGCATCCACTGGAAGACAATTTCTTATAGTAAATTTCGGGGCTATAATGGGCTGAATTACATGAAACCAAGACACTACTTGACTGGAGAGATGCGTCGAACCGAGGCCCATACTGGTACAATTATGTTGCATACCTCGACGAGTCAAGCACATTTTCAAATGACCACGGTAAATGTGTAGTCGAAACGCTTCCTTTAGGCAAGCAAAGCGAGCCGCTCCCAGGATGTCAAAGCGTCTAACGTGGCATTATAACCAGCAAGCTTTAGTCGAGGTTTTTGTGGTGTAGTACAAAGAAAACACTAACCAATGCCAGAGTTTGAGCGCACGGTGCAGCGTTCTGAGTGTCCTACAGTGGAAGGACACTGTTGGTTGACCAGCCGGCGGCGTGTGACTTGAACCGAAAGGAACGGTGCCGGTGGATTTGTCGCTTGTTTCTTAGGTAACACAATCAGATCATCGGTCACGTGGACATCTTTGTGGTCAGTGTGTTTCTTCTTGTGAAAATGTTTCTCTGGAATCCAACCGGATGGAAGCATGTGGGCCGCGCAACCGGGTGCAAATCCGACGCCATTTACTCGATCCAACGATACAGTGCGAGGCCAAGTAGGCGCTTGTACATGAGGCCGGCTCGGGCGACCAAAGTGAAAATCAGGGCCATATTGCATCTGCAGACGAGAATAATCTGACAGTAAGTTACCGGAAACTGTGTAAATGTGTGAAGTGACAGTGGTGGCGATGATGTGAGTGGAACTATTGATTTCGGGCGACGGGCTTCGTATGAAACAATACAATGTCTCCAGGTTATCTTTACAGTATAAAAGTGGTACTGAAAACAATGTGCTAAGGAACATGCCCGATGAGGGGACCATGGAGAAGTGGCGAGAAGCCAAGACACCGAGCAATCGTACGGGTATGGCACGAACTTACAACTCTGCTTACATGCATGTAAGGAAAGCATCTCTTATCTTGCAAACACTGCCACATCCGGCCAGGTTGCGTGAGAGCAATAGAGTAGCCGAGAAACATCTTCAAGTGCTTCCTGCATTGCTGAAGCCACCAAACAACTTAACCTGAACACCCAGCATTTAAGCAGAAATGTGTTTATTTATCCCATGTTTCGTATCCACCTTTGTATCACCAACTGAACTCAGAAGGCCGCTACCGACACATCACCCAAACAGATGCGATACCATGTAAACCGGATAAATGATGATCACGAAAGTATTCAAGTCCGAGCAGTCGGAACCTGTAAAGCAGGACAAGGTAAAATAGTGTATGTAGGTATAAGTTGAGCTTCGTTTCTGCAGTACCGGAGTGTCATGGAATCAGTTCTTCCAATGACGCCTCGATCACACTGCAGAGGCCGTGCAGATGACATTGAGGACAACAGTATCGTGACAAACTAACTAATTGAAAACTAAACGTGTGGGAACCTCTGTACAGAGGTCGTAGGAAGACAACTGACATCCATGTTCAACGAGCATAGCACCGGAGTGACTGTGGCTTACTAGATGATGAGGGTGGAATTGCTTCTCGAGAAGTGGCGGGAGGGTGCTAAGCACCTTTGGTTTACAGAACAGAAACATACAGCTGACGCAATTGTCAAGGCATACTAAACAAACGAGATACAAAGACATCATCAGTCTCAGATCGTATGCATTCAACGAATGACGGACGAACTAGTCGAAAGAGCTCACCTCATGAACATGGGATCCTCGACTGTAACTGGGGTATCCAGCTGACGTTAGTGCAACGCGTGACTTTTGCGGTGCTACTGGTAACCCCATAGAACCTCCAGCATGGAATGGATGGTATACTACGGGGCAGTATGGGACGAATGTTGGTACTGATGGTAAGCTACCAGGACTGGCGGATACGGCGTGGTGAATGAATTCCATAGGGGGCATTGATGGTGAAACGTAGGGTCCGGGAGGTCTGGGCTCCGTGTTGTAAATATCTGGGTATGAGAACCTGTGCAGCTGATGGTCCAGCTCGCATTGGCGATGGTGTGATGCCAGCATAGATTCCACGAGTACGCTTAATCGCTGCAAGTGCCATTCCAACTGTGTGGGGAAAAAAACAGGAAAACGAGTGAGGTTACAGTTGGAAAATTATCGAAAACTCGAGATGGTGCATTTGACAATGTAGCTTACCACATCGACATATTGCAAACGAGTGGTGGCCTCACGAAGTAAAGCGCGCAGCTTTTTGTTCTCTCTCCGCAACTCATTGATGTCAAATTCATTGGGTGGGTTTTGGGTGCTCGGTGAAGAGTCTGAAGCCATATGGCCAGCTAAACTGACGGAATCCAATTTACTTGGCCCACCACTTAAACTGTCGCATATGATGGCTGGAGGAGCACGAGTACAGCAACGCATAGTCCAACCGCTAACTGCTGTCATTCGTGGCGAAAAGGTTGAGAATGCGGTGGTGATGGCGAAGTCTGCACTCAATGGTGGAATATCAGCGAATAGGGGTAATCCTCTTCGGACTCCATGATGAACATCAGCATCAGATCCCACAAACGCTGAGTGGGATGGAAACAGAAATAAGTTGTGATAAGGTAGTTCATAAAAACGGCTAGCTGCGTTCGGATCAACGCCTATCCAGTGTCCAGTGACCGCCATTTCACACATGTGCGCGATAACATACGGTCGGGGGTTAGAGAGTAACGGTTGTGCTGAGATTATAGGGAGGATTGAGCCCCTGTTTGGTGTCTTACCAAACGAAAGGCGTATCAACCGAGTAATCGGTCACCGGCTTCCAATGGGCGCGATTCCCTAAATTCGCCCCGCTGCCTTGTGGGTAGGCTGTCGAGCTTAAGGAGTAGAGCCCCCTAAGACAACACTCTACTTCCGCTTATGCAACCGGGTAGTATCGTGCCTGCTGCAGAAACTATGGACCACACTACTACTTTTTCGCACATTCTGGTTCCTCTTTCCGTCGTCACTCACTAATCTCCATCATCTCCATTAATCCGTGTTACCCACAAATGAATTCCCTACACGGATTTTGATGCCACCCACAAAGTCCGGCCTGAAGCTATCCTACGACCCCGATTCTCGTTTCGGCAGCAAGATTCTATATTCGAACTCTAATAAAGATCGGGCAACGAGCCGGTTTAGCACACACTCTGGACTCCCTCGCTATTTATAAATGCTGCCTTTCCGAAACTAGGTTACAAAACCCGAGCACTGTGCTCAAGTTGATTTTCCCGACAAACCAAGGAACCACAGACCACCTACGTCTTTCTTGAGACGCAGAAGCGGTTGCAGCTGATTTGTCAGGCGTTGGTGTGGCATTAAGCAGCAAAATCGAGGCCGCACTGCTGGACTAGTTTTTAGTCAACAGCCGATTATGAGCAGTTCCGCTTCAAGGTTAACCGGCGCCGCGCTAAATGGCGCAGCCTGTTCGTGCTCTCCGCTCATGCTCCAACCGACTGTAACTGAGTCGAGCAAGGACGATTTCTATTGCTAACTTCATCAGCTTTGACACAAAGCCGCCAAATCGGATGTTGTCGACCTCGCCGGGGACTCCAATGCAGGTGCCAGTCGAATGCTGCCAGGTGAATATCACTTGGGTGGCCATCACGCACTGCACGAGAATCGCTCAGATAACGGGCTTCTCACTTGGTGTGAAGACAATGGATTATTCCTCGCAAGCACCAATTTCAAATACTCGAGGAGGCGTTCTGCCACCTGTTTCCCTGCACCAATTCAGGCTTGGTCTCAAATAGACCACATTGCAGTTATTTTCAGGTGGTGAGGTAGCATACAGAACTGTAGATTATTGTGTCTGCTTATCTTGATTCTGATCACGCAATGGTTTGTGCGAACATTTGTATGCGCTTTGGGAGTCCTACCACATGGAAGCACTGTAAGCTCAATATGAACAGGCTAGCAGCCGATCAGTCGACTCAGCTGAATTACCAGTTGTCATTGGCAAATGCCTTAGCTTGTAATTCTCCCACTGACATCGAACTGCATTGGAGCTTCTGGCAGAACACGACGCTATCTGTTGGCCAATCAGTGTGGATTCACTCATCACCCCTGAAAGAGTTGGAACTCCGCGCGCTCCCTGACACTCTTTGACCGTCCCCGAATTTTCCCCACATAACTCCGATCAGAATGAACTTTGCCGCGCTATCAGCCGTCAACCCAAACGAAGCCTTCGCGGTGATCGTGAAGCTTGGTGGTCTCAACGCGCTTTGAGGATGGAAACCGCCGCCTTTTCTGGAAAAACTCGCAGGTTGTTTCAGCTCATTCGGACTAATGTTCAAAAAAGATCTGATATCAGCGAGGTTATCTGCAAGGTAGATGGGTCACAAATCACTAATTTGCAAAGGCGCGAGGACAGGTGGGTTGAGCTCATCCAATCTCAGTTCAGTTCTTCTCCGTCGTCCACTTTCGCACTCAGCTCGCCCCGTTGTACGCCATGGGCCGTGTCAATCGAACTACCCACTTGGGCCGACGTTTGCCTTGAGATTAGACATTTGAAGCATTTAAAGGCTGTTGCTTCAGACGAGCTTCCTTCAGAACTGTTCAAGTATAGTGGTATGGAAATTGTCACTTAGCTATCATCCCTATTTCTGTAAATCTTGGGAGAAGGGCTCCTCACCTCATGGGGAGAGTCAGTTATTGTCCCAGTTTTCAAGAAAGGCTCCCGGACTTCATGTGCCAATCACACGGTAATCAGCATGAAATCGGTTGCCTCTAAGCTGCTAATATCCATCATGTTGCGCAGGATATCGCCAACTCGCGAGGCGCACTACTGGGAAGAGCAGGCTGGTTTCCGCCTCGGCAACTTCATCAGCTGCTTGAACATCGCCACGTGTAACGCGGACGCAACATCGTCGTGTTTCTGGACATTCGGGCTGAATTCGACTCGATAGGCCAACCCGTCTTATGGGATTGCCTACTAAAGAACAGAGTTCAAGAAAAGTACGTCGCTATTCTTCGAGCGCTATACCTCCATACTTCAAGCAGAGTAAGAGCCTACAGCAAGTTCTCTGCAGTGTTCCCTGTCACCAGTAATGTGCGACAAAGATACCCTATGTCTTAATTCTTTTTCACCTTCGCGGTCGGAAATGTCTTGTTGGGAGTTTTAGAGGGTTTTCAGAATCATGGAATTGAGCTCCTTCCAAATAATCGTGCAACCGACTTAGATTACGCTGATGATATCGTCTTGCTCGGTGATGACCCTCATAGTATGCAATTGATCCTTGACTGACTGGTGATTGAAGCATCTAAGTATGGTATGTGCTTTGCCCCTCAAAGTGCAAAATGTGGGCACATGACTGGCAGGATGCTCTCGATCAGCTCGCCAGCGAAAACACTCGACTTGATCAGGTAGATAGTTATATTTACCTTGGGAGTAGTATCTTTACCGATGTACCTATTGGATAGGAGGCCTCTTCGTATCGCTAAAGCCAATTTGAAACACTTAGGGCGTCATCGAGACATCTCACGCTTGCTAAAAGGTAGGATTTACAATGTCTGTGTGCGCGTGATATTTTTGTATGGATGCGAATCCTGGCCGATCCGAGTGGACGAAATGCGTAGGCTTTAAACCTTCGACAAAGACCGTATGCAGAGGATTGCCCGTGCATGGTGGCAACATTGGGCGCGCAATGATGATATCAGACAGCACGCCTTTGGCAAGGCGTACCTCCCACTCCATTAGCTTGTTCTACTGCGCCCGTCGAGATGGTTTGGCCACGTCCCGCGCATGTTTGGCGAGCGATTGCCACGGTGCGCCCTATTTAGGTAAACAGGGATGCATTGGAAGAGGCCTCGTGGTGGCCAACCTGGCGACAAAGCATTAAATCGCAGACATCCTGTCAATCAATTGCTGGTCCGGTTGGGGACCGAGAGATGAAGAATGCCGATAGCAGACAACACACGAAACTATGACACAAAACCAGTTGCAGTGGCAAGCAAGTCTTCGTGAACTCCCGATTTCAAAAACTGTGACTCCTTAAAAATGAACAATAAAACAGCATGTGAAAAAAGACAAAAAAGTTCCTTTATTCATATATATATATATATATATATATATATATATATATGTAATGCACATATGGCGTGTCCCATAAGGCTGATGTTGCATTCTTGATGCTTCTTCACCGCAGTTGGGCTAAACCAACTTACACTTAAACTAGGTCTTTTTAAGCTGGATAAATTTAATTCCAATTTATTTGGTTTGTCCTGCGTACCTGAATAAAGTTCTATTAACTGGCCACGTTGCTTACACTAATTGCGCTTATCTTCGGTAAATGTATTGCGTTTGTAGCATTTTTAAGTAACTTGTGGACATTTCTTACTTATCGCGGATTCGTTGCTAACCAACTTACTTCATATGCTAATTTAGCGGAGAGTTATGCCACCGTATCTGTATGCATTATTGGATTTGTTTCATTTCATTTTGTCGTTTGAAGTGAATGGCTGTTGTTTGATATCCCCGGTGTGGCTGCGCTTGATGTGTATGTTGACAAGGTGCCTACCTGTCTATTACCCACTACCTCGTTCATACTCGCTCCAGGAGACAGTTGGTCGTTGCTGGAGAGAACGAGGTGCACGGTCCTTGTGGCCGTGCTAGGCTCAAAGAGCGGTTCCATGCACTCAGTTTGGAGCCGACTACGGTCCAGCCACCGCCTTGTGTGCGACTGATTCTCCAAATACAGCGTGCCCGTGGTTGCCTGTGAAGGAGTGTGGGTCGGCTCCGTTGACGAAACGTGGCTCCCATCCACACGCCTCTCGGTCTTATTCCTTCGGGTTTACAATGGATATGGGGTGTGTGGGTGGTGCAGCGCAATCCGCTACTGGGGCCTCTGTAGGCGCAGGCGTCCTGTGGCTGGCCACAATGAAAGGAAAATCCAAAACCGGATGCCGCCTACTATATATATGGTTGGTTGGACCGTAGTCCGCTCCACAATGAGTGCATGGAACCACTCTTCGAACCTAGCACGGCCACAAGGACCGTGCACTCCGTCCCCTCCACCAACGACCGACTGTCTCCTGGAGCCAGTATAGACGAGGTAGTGGGTAGGCACTTTGTCAACATGCGCATCAAGCGTAGCCACACCGGGGATATCAAGCAACAGCCCATCACTTGAAACGACAAAATGAAATAAAATAAATCCAATAATGCATACAGATACGATGGCATAACTCTTCGCTAAACTAGCGTATGAAGTAAATTGGTTAGCAACGAATCCGCGATAAGGAAAAAATGTCCACAAGTTACTTACAAATGCTATAAACGCAACAAAATTACCGAAGATAAGCGCAATTAATGTAAGCAACGTGGCCAGTTAATAGAAGAGTATTCAGGTAGGCAGAACAAACCAAATAAAGTGGAATGAAATTTGTCCATCTTAAAGGGACCTAGTCTAAGTTTAAGTTGGTTTAGCCCAACTGCGGTGAAGAAGAATCAAGAATGCAACATTATATATATATATATATATATATATATATATGTGTGTGTGTGTGTGTGTGTTACGGAGAAACGGTAACTCTACCTAAATCCAAACAGGTCCAGTGGCTCAGACACATCTAGATGGAGTACGGGTGAGTCGAAAACCGAAACACCCAAAAAATAACCAAAATATGTCAACAGTTAGATAACAGAAGTAGAGGTAGGTGTTGGTGAACATGTAGTTATCTGATGCACACTTGGCACTCATACTTCACTATCTCCAAAGGACATTTTTATGACTTAAAACTAGCTGTCAAACTGGAGTTTGATGTGATTGCTAGTTTGCAACTGGGCCTGCGCAACGATATGATGGAACCTTACCTGCTAAATTTAAGACCTCAAAGTGAGTACTACAGACAGCGATAGCATTCTGCTACTTCTAGCAGTTTAGGCGCGCGACGCAGTAGTGGCCACCACTGCATAGCGGGGCAGAAACGTAGGAAGAGTCCAGCAGCACTGGCCGCCAGTAAATGAAGTATCCGGCTTGTATTCGCGATGTGTGGCAAATGAAGTACGGTCACCAGAAAGTGCATTATGGCACTGGGCGCCTACTAACACTCTAGATAAGGGTAACTGTCCACTTTGAACTAGCGTACTACTGCTACGTTGCTCTAATGGAAAGAGAAACAGCCAGGGAGTGACTATATTGAAACCGAGTCAGCTTCGCATGAATGCATATATCAAACTAATCTCCTTACTTTACAGATTATCGAACAATCGGAAGAATGCATGTTTAATCGGTGAACGTTATGTAAGGACTCACCACGCTCCTGTTCTGATGGAGGACAACGGGAGGGTTCAAGCCGGTGTTGGTCGGTGGGATATTGGGGCTGTTGAACTATCCACTGAGGTCCGAAACAGAACACTCCGGGAGTCTGGCATGTTGCTGACGTGGAAATGACAGTGAAACCAGCGGGCGAAAACGGATTATAAGCAAATGAATCTTGAGCAACATGGTATAAGGTACCGTTGTTCGGCTGCAGTGGATCGCAATGCGCAAGCATCCTGGACCGTATAGAAGAATGAGGACGATAAGGTGGAGGTGGTGGTGGATGTGTGTAACTGATTGGTGGAATCGTGCGATCATCTGAGATCGCTCCGGGAATGCGGTTATCCGAGCCAAGATAGTAAATTCCACCGTTCAGTATAGGTAATTGAGTGGTCACGGTAGTTGCAAGCCAATTGATCAGAGCGGCCTCCGGGATGTTCACATAGTCTCTGATTGGATTAGATTGAGAACGGTTGCGGGCCGAACGGAAGAAACTTGCTTGCCTTGGATATAGAGCTAATAAAGAAAAACATCCCTTATCTCAAGGCTATGCCCATAAGCTATAGGAAAAGTAGCGGTTGTAACGTAAACACTGAGAGCAAGTCGAATGTGGGGACATTGATAGTCAACATCTAACACCAAAGCTTAAAATCTACACCTAAGTTGTCAAGTGACAATTGTGTTCTTAAACTTCCAAACCTTGTGGCTACGGCCATGCGCGTGTCTTAAAAGAAAATGGACTATGAATAGCATAGGGATTTTCGACTAGTGGCATGCGTCGATAAAAGCCGAATGACACAAATGAAAGCATGGTTTCAGCCTTCCGACTTTGGATGTGGGCTGGAATCACCAACAAGTATAACTGTTGAGAAATTATAGCATCAGGATCAAATTGTCAAAGGGTCAATTGCATCTCCCCAATGGTACAGTAAAAATTAAGACCAGGGGGTGTATGCTTACAAACAGGAAATAGGTCGCATCTCTACAGAAAGATCACCAGGAATTTTGTTTGGTTTCAGTAGGATAAAGGGCGGTTGGGCAAGAGCGGTGGTGATGCGATATAAAGTAACGAAGTATACCCGAAGTGAAATGCGGATGATCAACTTACATGGGACAGGTTCTTCAATGCAAATGGGTGGGTGCTGCTTATGCTGAACAAGGCGTGTCCGTTGAGACATCTCCGCTTCGTTATCAGCAGAGAAGTTCATAACATCGCGCGATGGTTGACCGGTCGATGATATGTGCTCCCCGTAAAAAAGTTCCATGTCTTCAACATGGCAGATGGCCATATCTTGATCCTCATTCACGTAGGAATGAGAAAGGCGATGAAACGCCTCGGGAATGCTGGCTACTTCGTTCGAACGAAGCGGAACCTGGGAAGCACTATCCACTGACTTTTCGTTTAGTTCAGAATCTTGTTCGTCGGCCTCTTCTTCTTCTGCCACGTAACACCTACTCAGTTCCGCGAGTTCCATTCGGGGAGAAAGCGTTCTACGCGAAACTCCAGTTTGATTACCGCAACCACAATACTAGTAAATGATAGAAACAGGTATTTGCTGATGAGACAAGGAGACCGTAGTGCACACTAAATCGGATACTTAGAAAACTAGGCGATGCAATAAGATCGCTGATAAACAACAAAGAGATACGTGCGAAGAACACCTGACCCAGGGCTCCCCGGAAGTATATATATATATATATATATATATATATATATATATATATATATATATATAATGTGACTTTCTATCCTTAGGTGTAATAAGGGAAGTAAGGCATTGGTTTTCGACAACGTGATAGATTGGACAATGCCAAGACTCTGATCAGCATGCTGAATATATGAGATGTATAGCGACTAATGGCGGGAGAGCCTATGATGCGCTGAGGCTGGTGGTGGCTAGATCCTGACAGATGGTCTACCCACTGCTGCTACTGTTGCTCCATAGTCTCATGTCCTGGGCGCCTCCACGTGGCGACCGCTGGGTGGGAGTTAGGTTTCGCCCTTCTCCCTGCTAAGATCCAGGACACCAATCCGCATGAGTCAGCTAACTGACCATGTGCTAGACCCGCTGCCTTTCGGGTGTTCATTTAATCGAAGGCTTTGGCTGAGGACCCGAGTCGTTCTTCTGTCAGGATTGGGCGCCCTGGCAGTATCCTAGTCCATCCTCTCCGGAGGTTAGGAAGTGGTCGATGGCCCACTTCCCGTAAAACCTAGCCATGGGAGACAACAGGTTACGGGTTATATTCTCAATGCTCGATTGGCGTAGAGCACGAGTACCACGCATTGTCTCTGACGGTGGGAGGACACCTCCGGGTGTTCAATGGTTTGCTACTGCCCGCCTCAAGCCAGGCAGCCCCTGGTCAAATTGGTGCAAACCCGCCAAAAACCCACCTGCGTCTGGCCGTGGTCGCAGGTGCGTATCCAATTACGGTCGCAAAACATATGATAACTGTTCCAGAACCTCAAAGGCTGCGTGTGACGGCCGTCAAGCAGATCCCCATCTGTCTCTGCAATCACATTCCCGAGATGGATCTGCTCTCCACTGCCTTGTGGGTCAGGCTATTGAGCCAAAGGCTCCGGGTGGAGTCCCTCAAGCAAACCTCCGAAGCACAACGACCACCTCGCGTGCGATTGCCCACCAATGCAATCGTATGCCTGCGCGCAAAGCACTCAACATCGGGTGCTGGAACGTGCGCACACTACTGGACCGGAACTCGAGCGAGCGCCCGGAGCGACGCACTGCACTGGTCGCAATGGAGCTGGCGCGCTACCACATCGATATTGCGGCGCTCAGTGAAACTCGGCTCGCTGAGCAAGGTAAGTTACATGAAGCAGGTGCTGGCTATACATTCTACTGGGTGGGGAACGCCGCCTCAGCACCACGTGAACATGGGGTCGGATTTGCAATATCCGATCGCCTGAATGGCCAGCTGGTGGGTGAACCAACGGGCATCAGCGCGCGACTGATGACTGCTCGCCTGCGACTCGGAAGAGGTAAGTTTGCTACTTTTATAAGCACGTACGGTCCGACCATGTGTTATCCTGATGACACGCGTGATCAGTTCTACACTGAGCTATCCTCCGTGATACGGTCTGTGCCGAGGAGCGACCGACTATTTCTGCTGGGTGATTTCAACGCGCGCGTTGGGCGTGATGCATCAGCGTGGACAGATGGTATCGGTGCGCATGGCATTGGTTCAGCGAATGCGAACGGTGACAGGCTGCTCTCACTGTGTGCCACTCACGGCCTGACGATCACGAACACTCGGTTTGCACTGAGTGCGAGTGATATAGCAACTTGGACGCACCCACGGAGTGGTCACGCTCACCTCCTCGACTATGTCATCGTACGTCAGCGTGATATGCGTGAAGTGCGCATGACACGTGTACTGCGTGGAGCTGAGTGTGGCACTGATCACAAATTGGTTCGGACCAAACTGTACATATATTTTCGTAAATCGATGTATTGCACTCCCGCCGTGAATCGGCGTAAATTTAACATTCTCTCCCTCGGCACTGTGGCGAAACGTGCTGAGCTGGAGAAGGCGATGGCTGCACGCCTGTGTGGTGATGTGGACTGTATAGCCACAGTGGGCGACCTGTGGCACCACATTCGCGACCAGGTGACAGCTGCTGCGGAGGAGACCATCGGGCGCGCAAACTGTAAGCGGCCTGATTGGTTTGATGACAACAATGTGACGATTGACGCATTGGTGTCAGAGAAGAATGCAGCATTTGCTGCACATGTTGCAGACCCCAGTGACTTGGGGAAGAAGAGTCAGTTTCGCAAATTTCGACGGCGACTGACCCGAGAGCTCCGTCGCATTAAAAATGCATGGTGGACGGAGAAGGCGAAGCAGATGGAATGCTACGCGGAACGCCGTCAACACAAGGAATTCTTTGACTCCTTGAAGGCGGTGTATGGACCGAGATTGGAGCCGCTGAGGACACTGATCGAGGGTAGTTCAGGCGCTACCTGCACCCAGACTGCAGACATAATGCAGGTCTGGCGGAAACACTTTGACTGTCTCTTGAACAACCGTTCAGAGATCGACTGGCCTACATTGAATGGCCTGAAGCAGCACGATGTGAAGGCGGATCTGGCAGATACGCCGAGACTGGATGAGACGCAGAGAGCACTTGCTCAGCTGCGAAACGGCAAATGTGCCGGAGGTGACGGGATCCCACCTGAAGTATTGAAACACGGTGGACCCGCGTTGTTGACTGCGCTGCACCACTTGGTGCAACGCGTGTGGATTGAGGAGGAAGTGCCTTCTGAGCTGAAGGATGCTCTTGTGCTACCACTGTACAAGGGCAAAGGTAGCAAGCAATGTTGCACGAATTATCGTGGCATCAACTTGCTGAGTTGTGTGGGCAAGGTGATTGCCCGAATCCTGCTCAATCGCCTCGTGAGTCAGATTGTGGAACCTCACGTGGCGGAAGAGCAATGTGGATTCCGTTCGGGTCGCAGCACTATAGATATGGTGTTTGCGGCTCGTCAGTTGCAAGAGAAGTGCAGAGAACGACACCAGCCTTTGTACTCGCTTTTTGTTGATTTCACCAAGGCATTTGATACGGTGAACCGCGAGGCACTGTGGCTGGTGTTGGGTAAGTTTGGTTGCCCGCGTAAGTTTGTAAGTTTAATTGAATGTCTGCACAGTGGTATGCGAGCGAGGGTGCAGCTGAGTGGAGAGACCTCTGATGACTTTACAGTTGTCTCTGGTGTGAAGCAAGGCTGTGTGTTAGCTCCTGCCCTGTTTAATATCTATCTTCATGCAATGTTGTCTTGTGCTTTTGATGCGGCTTGTGTTTACGGTGTTCGTGTGGAGCACCGTATTGATGGTGGGTTGCTGAACATCCGTCGTTTCGGTGCGAGAACTCTAGTCTGTGAGACAACTATCCGTATGTTGCTGTTTGCTGACGACTGTGCGTTGTTTTCACACAACGCGGATGAGTTGCAGCACATGACTAGTGCTCTGGCTTCGACAGCGGCCAAATTCGGGCTCACCATCAACACAAGCAAAACTGTCTGTCTGTTTCAGCCTTCACCGGAGGTGCAATCTTCAATATTGCCGCAAATCAGCATTGGTGCTGAAGTATTGGAAACCACCTCCCGCTTCTGCTACCTTGGGAGTGTGATGTCGACTGATCAGCAGCTACACATTGAGTTGCGTAATCGCGTGTCGAAGGCGGCAGCGGCATTCGGGAAGCTAGAGTACCGAGTGTGGAACAACCATCAGCTTAGCATTGGCACGAAGCTGATGGTGTACAAATCCATGGTACTGTCCGTTCTTCTATACGGCAGTGAAACGTGGACGATGTACCGTCGGGATGTGCGATATCTCGAGCGGTTCCATCAGCAGTGTCTGCGACGAATTCTGCGAATCGGCTGGGGCGCCAGAGTTGCAGACACGGAAGTGTTGCGCCGAAGTGGGATGTATGCAGTGGACGGCATACTTTTACTGCGACACCTGAGATGGCTCGGTCATGTGAGCCGTATGGATTCGACGCGAATACCGAAACAACTTTTATACGGTCAGCTGAGTATAGGGAAGCGGCATGCTGGGAAACCCAAGTTACGTTACCAGGACATGATTAAAGTGAGCCTCACACGTTCTAATCTTGATTGCAGATCATGGGAATCGAAGGCGGTTGATCGGCGTGCATGGCGCGATCTAATCACGAAGGCAGTTGCTGAGGTGCGGGAGAAAGCCCTCATGCATGCAGAGAAGAAGCGGCAAGTGCGGAAGCGGCAAGCACCGATGAATTGTACTCCATCGACATCGAGCGCATTGTGTTGTAGAACATGCGGTCGCGAGTGCCTTAGTCAGGCAGGCCTAGTGAGCCATGAGAGAGGTCACTCGGGACCACTGCCGAAGCGACGACGGGTCCCGCAGTGAACGTAGGCAGCACCGGCGCAGCGTTTGTAGGCACGCTGAATTCGATTTACTAACCGCATGCTTGCATGCTAAGTCTCTTTATTTCAGGTGGTGGGTTTTCGGTTCTCTCCTAATGCATTTCTTTCTCATATAAATGTCTAGTGGGCCATGAGCTAGGTCCTTTGGGGCCACTACAGAAGCGACGATGGGTCCTGCAGAGAATTACGACGAGCCGGCGCAGCGTTTGTAGGCACGCTGATTTCGATTTACTAACCGCGTGCTTGCATGCTAAGTCTCTTTATTTCAGGTGGTGGGTTTACAGTTTTTACCTTAATGCTTTTCTTTCTTATATAAATATCTCCATGTACTCTATTCCATTAACTTGCACATATCGCTTTAGCCAGTTGTATTCGATTTCCATAAGATTTTTGTGTTCGTGGCATACCGTGAACTATACTTCCTGACTTCGTGCACTTAGCTGGGATGTGTTTGTAAACAACTTATTACGTATGCTATTTAATTAAGGTTTATGTCACCGTTTCCTTATGCATTAATCCAGTTTTTCTCTTTTTCTTTCTCTCTCTCTCAAGTGATTGGCTGTTGTTTGATATCCCCGGTGTGGCTGCGCTTGATGTGCATGTTGACAAGGTGCCTACCTGTCTATTACCCACTACCTCGTCCATACTGGCTCCAGGAGACAGTTGGTCGTTGCTGGAGGGGACGGGGTGCACGGTTCTTGTGGCCGTGCTAGGCTCAAAGAGCGGTTCCATGCACTCAGTGTGGAGCGGACTACGGTCCAGCCACCGCCTTGTGTGCGGTTGATTCCCCAAATACAGCGTGCTTGTGTTTGCCTGTGAAGGAGTGTGGGCCGGCTCCGTTGATGAAACGTGGTTCCCATCCGCATGCCTCCCGGTCTTATTCCTTCGGGTTTACACTGGATATGGGGTATGTGGTTGGAGCTGTGGGTGGTGCAGCGCAAGCCATCCATGGTCCCTCTGTAGGCGCAGGCGTCCTGTGGCTTGCCACAGTGACAGGCAAATCCGAAACCGGATGCCGCCAACCACAAGGCATCGGGGACAGCCTAATGGGGTGTGGTCTAACGACTGACGTGTCGAAACACTATGTACCGCCTCGAAGAGACGACCGCTGTATGACTCCTGTCGGTGCTCATCAAGTTAGCCATATAAGTCGCAAGATGGAGAATAGGTGTAGCAGAAAACGCACGTTCCAACATGAATGCGCAAGCCGAGTCCAGGTAAGTTAAATCTCCGCTTACTCGCGTTTGATGTACACTAGCACTGATGCGGCATTATCTGTTCAATATGAGAGTTCGTATATACCACCAGCCGGAGTAAAAAATCGAGGTTGCACAACTTTGTATTTGCCTTTTGCTGGGTCGTAAAAGCGCTCTGCTAAAGACCTGTCTTCCCTCTCTCGGGTTCCAATGAGTCAGGTAATGAATTTCCGTCTCGCTTGTGTGCGAAACAGCGCAGTTTACGAGGACCGTGTCCCTCAATTCAACTAGAATTCGTTGGAAGCAGCTCAGTATGACAGTAGGTTAAAACATATCAAATTCCGGTTGACTGTCTTATTCCAATCGACCGTTTATGCTCGCGTGCACTGATTAGCTTATAGCTGCATGTGGTTAGCATATCACATGCCAAAAGAAATCGTTCGGAAAAACCTGGTCAATCCGGTGTTCATGGGCGGAAGCCTATGCCGCATCGGCGATAAAGCTTTTTGTTCCAATGAGTGTGACCTTGACTATTTCGTCCACACATATTCCTTGGATGCCCGACTGCATGGCCGAACTATCCATCTATTTTCCCTGCAGTTCCCAATTTTGTAAGCAAAACAATTAGATGCACTTCGCTTCTGTCCCAAGACACAAGAGGGCCAGATGAACCGCGTACTCAACGTACCGATCGTGCGAGTCACTTGCTTGGAAGGAAGCATCGAGATCACTACCATCACCATCAAAGCGGCCAATTCAACGCAACACAGTAAAACTATGGTGTCCACGTCTCAGTCCCTTACTTCTAACTGCTGGTTGTTTCCGATCTAAAAAGGTGGCCAAACCAGAGGCCCACCTCCTACAAACTGTGAAATCCATAGAGCTGTTAGAACAATTTTCATATTTTTGACATGTTATCGAATAACTAAATTGATGCTTCACACAACTAGATGAAATAACGTACAAACAACGCCATCGGGAGAGCAGGAGGTTCGCTCACTCGATTAGCAACGATTAATGGGGGCTTTCAGAACTACCTACTCGTGGTGCCAGCCTGGTCGTTCACGTTTTCCCCGTCCCAACAAACAGACCAATGGCAGTATTACATGAGATAGTGGGTTTTCGCATTTCAAGCTTCCTTCTTATGAAGAGTTACAAACGCTTGTTTAACAACACTGTGACATAACGGATGTGACGTGCCAATGTCCTCTTGCTTCACTTTGCTGGAACATCGTAATCCGGAGGATGAACGCATGGCGTATTGGGATCCCGTTTGACAACTCAACAAAGCAAAGGAGTGTAAACTGAACAGTCAGTCACCGGCCCCCAATGGGTACGATTCCGTGATCTCGCTCCGATGCATTGCGGAGTAGTTATTCAGGTAAATGCTCGGGATGGTGCCTCCAAGTCAACTCTCTACATCCTCTTGGGCAACCAAATAATACCTGCCCCGTGACGAAACTATGGATTGCTCTATGTTTTGTCCAGTTTTCTTTCTACGATAACTGTGCTTATCTTTGATTTCCATGGTTTTTGATTGCCATATATCTACGCGTGGACTACAGAAAAAATAAAAATGAACTGAGCTTCTACAGAAATATGTCAACAAAAGTTCAGGCCATCAGATCCGAGGATGGAAAAACCGTCCATCTATACGAGATACCGTTCCATCCAGTAATATCATTTGGCTTCTGACACTCACCTTTTCTAACGATGCTAACCATTTTACTTAATGGGAATTAACCGTCTCTTGAAGCGCTTGATCAATCCTTAGGGTTGTGACCAGACTACGTTTTGTGCTGCGAACGCCGAAACTTGGCACTAGGGGAGCGAATCAATCAAATTATCATATAATCGGCTATGACCGCCTTTCTATTGGGCATTGAATATTACACTAATCGCTAATATTACTAATCGCTAATATTACTAATCGCTAATATTACACTAATCACATCCTCCGGTTACGAAATGTAATGGCCCAACATGTCGTGATATTGTTAGTCAGCGAAATATGAGTGTGACGAGACCGTAGCTTTGAAGTTCGGCGCGCCAAGAGAGTGAGCACCATGTGAACACGCAGCAAAGTAGGAAAAGTATTCCAAACATACCGTTAATCCTACGCAACTAGCTGGTGGCGACGTACTCAAGTCGAGACCCAAGCATCAAGTGACTTAAAGCGAACGCTCGTTCATGGGCGCGATGCCACTGAGATAAAGATGACGGCCAACACGCGACCACGGAAACCAATCGCGACTATTGATACCATGACTGCGGATTCCGAAGCCAGCTCTTGGGCAACTGTCGGTCCCCAAAGAGTAACTAAATGACCGATAACGCTACTGGTAACAATACAATGCCTATATTCTCGGTCATACTGGTAAGAGTTACCGAATACTTCAGCGTTTCATGGCTCTCCAGTCGGAGTCCGCGGTGAGATACACCAAATCAGTAGACAGGCGCATGCATTTTTCGATGCTGTCTGTTAACAGTAAGGGAGGTGAGAATTCCAGCTATCTAAGTGCAATTATCCAAATGTTGTATCTAGTAGGCAACAGTTAAGTAATGTGTTCCCACTATTTCCGACACTACGAATGCCTCAGACCTCATCGTTAGAAACGCGAAAAGTACGCACAATGTCCATAGACCGGTAAATGTATCAAAAGATACGTAACGAGGCTTGCATTTGTGTCCAGAAGACTACATGCATCAACCGCAAAGTGTAAAGCAAAGGCTAGCATGAGATGTGGACATCGACAAATCCTGCATGTAATGAGATGTGAAGTGCGTCATCATCACCAATACACGTTAGCCGAAGATGAGAACCACACCTCAGATGATATGCCGCGACACAAAAACTTGAGAGATTGAACATTACAGAACAAAAAAGCCAGAAAAAGTAACATAATGCTAAACATCACATTATACATGGGGGTTTGAGATCGTTGGATGTGGAAGATAATGGAGAGAAGAGGGACCAAGTGACTTACGGCACAAACGCCAATGAGATCGGCTCTTCGCCATGTCAGCTAGTGTATCTAATCAAATATAAATATCAATCTTCGGTCCCCAGGGCGGCAATCGGTAAACACCGATCGACGCCAACTTCGAAGTGAGGGAATTCATTCCACTTGAACAAGTCATCGCTTGGCCTCCTCTTCTTCCATCCAGTCCTCGAGCGCGCAAAGTACGCATGATGCAAGAGTCGGTGTGCTCGAATGCGCAACACTTTGTTTAGCCATCGGATTTTGTTGCGTGATATAATGGTTCGGAACAGTTCGCTTGCTCTTCCTATACCAGATACGTGGCGCCGAACTCGCTCATTGCTTACGCGATGTTTCCACCAGATGAGAGCTATGCTGCGAAGGCAGCGATGGTGGAACGTAAACAGCCTCTTCAAGTTTGTCAACTTGATGGGCCAGGTTTCGTAAGCGTATATGTATGTTGAATGGACGGCTACATTGCCCTTCTGAGCGAGAGTAATGTCACGCCGGTGCCACAGATGGCGGAGATTGGCAAAAGCGTCTCGAGCTTTTGTTATACGATTAGTGATCTTGTCCTCGATCTCAAAGTCGCTAATATAGCTGCCGAGATACTTAAATACTTAGACGAATTCTAGCTAGATACCATCAGCACATCGCTGGTAAAATTGACGATGATCAGGAGGGGCCTCTTAGCGAATAACCTAGGAAGAGGTGACGTGTAAAATAGCTAAGAAAGTGGAATGAATACTGGCGATAAGGTTTTCTTGACAGATCACACTCCCCGGTTGCCCATTCGAACAGAATAGGTCCGCCCGAAATTTTAACAACCTAACGCAAAAAGCACTGAAGATAAAGTCCAGTTGCATAGTGTGATTGCAGTGTGTTATGGAGACTTAACTGAAGTCAGTCGTCATCTATGACCGAGGCGCCAGTTGAAAGCCAGGACCGTCCATTGTGCAGCCCGACAAATTTGACAGACTAAGGTTCGGCAGAACCTACGGAAGTGCAATGGTATCGATTTCAACAATTCAACAAACGAAAATGATTCGCTGGAAACCAAAGAGGGTAAACAAACTACGTACTCTGTCAAAATAAAATGCGTTGGATTCCCGGGTGGACCGAATACTACCGTCACTGTCTGGGGACGAACTGGCCATACGTTGACCTATATGCTTTCGTGAGATAGTAGGAGCAGAATTACCATAAAGAAACCGCGCATCAGCTTCATCGGCGGCTGAGAATCCAGGCTCCCGTGCGCGTATGGAGGAGGAATCCACAGAGATAGTGGCGGTACCAGACTTCTGAAAGACAATAACAGAGGTCTTCAAATCTTACATTTAACATGCAAATTAAGTGAAGATAGAAAGGGCATGAACTTTCCTATACTATGACAAGAATCAGAATTATGTGACGATGTTGTCAGATTGCTGAATAACGAGTCGGGGACAGTGACGAAGTTACGAATCGTCTGTAACTTAGGTTACTTGCGCAAAGGTGTCGGTAAGTTAACCTGATGAGCAATAATTATTGGTGTCGCCACCACTGATTAAAGTGCATTGACGGTCTGAATTGACAATTTGCGCTCCAGGAATCTTGGTGGTAAAACGAAACGCTCGGATGCGTCAATTTTGTGAAAGTGTGGTTTGGACAACTGAGATCAATGAGCGAAAACTTTCCCCGGGTAGAACAAACCAAATCCACAGAATGAAGTCTGAATGGCAGCTTTATCATGACTTTTGTAATCCATCGAGTTGCTCAAAGGCAGAACAGGGTTCAAAGCTGAAAGCCATCAACAGTAATGTGAATAACGATCTACAGTGATACTTAAACGAAAAGCTACAGAAATCGGACAACAGTCGAGGGGAAATTACTATGAATGGTACGCGCATTTTTGGGAATGGCGAAGTGTTCATAAGTGAAAAACTTATCGTTCCTGAGGACGTTCGGGCTATCACAGGGCCTCAACAAAAAGCTTGAAGCTGCTGAAAACTGGTCATAAGCTGTATCCGTTCAGATAGCTCGTGTGTTCGAATTTACCTAGTAGATAACATGGGTGAACATGCCCTCCTCAGTAAACTGGTGCACAGAAGTCGGGTAGACGATGAGTGACTCACGCCCGAAATGGGAGAATCGAAACCAGACATTCTGTATTTGTACTGCTGCTGCATCGATTTAGCTGAAGAAAATGAAGTTTGGGACGCTCTGACATGCGGCCGCTTTTTACGTTCGGACTCGCCCACTTGAACCGCAGATGCCGAAGTAGCTGTGGACGATGATCCGTCGGGGCTGCTGCTTACTGATAAGGCGAATCCAGGTGCCAAGAGACGCGAAAGCAGCGGTGTTCGTTTTGGATCTGCGGTGGTCAAGGTATCCGGACGGATAGTAGGGGGCTTGAGAGGACTGGAACAGACTCTTGTGCCCGACTGCCTTCCTGTCAAAGTTGGGCTATACAAAACGGATGGTCTTGTCACACCCCCATGAGGTGGTACGCGTGGTAAGTATGAGGTCTGTGGTGCATAGGCAGAGGCATTTACTACAAGGAAAAAGGAATGTAAACAGAACTAAACCAATCACAGTAGGGATCGTGAGAACATTATAACAAGCGAAATAAACCTGAGCACAGCAGCTACGCGAAGAGTGGAAGGTCAGTTAGATTACCACCGTGACATTAAAGACTGCAGCAAAGGAAAAGAACCGTGTAGTAATAACAACACAGTAACATAAAGAGATACAAATAATAAGCGAACATTTTCCGTAAACACTTTTGTGTGGCACCCGACAAAACACATTGTGCGAATGGAAGAGAAAAGAGACAGCCAGCAGGAGAAACAGATGGCAAATCAAACTGGAAAGCACAACAAAAAGCGAATGATCGCTGAATGACACAAGAACGAAGAGCGCAAACTCACTTTCAATCTGCGGCGTGGAAAATGAAAAGATATCGGACAATCAAAAGTGAAAATCACGTTAAGAACGAAAGCTATGTAGAACTTCACGAAGTAAAAGTTATAAAGCATTCCAGGTGTGAAAAAAGGAAAACAGATCATCTTTCTACATGAAGGGGAAACTTGGATGAAACAGAGTACAACGGGGGATAATACAAAGATTTTATGAGCGCGTTGGTCAATAACAACGGCGAGAATCACAAGATGGATAACTATCAATCGCCCTTAATTCACAAGACAATCAGGTATAATCGGTCAGTTGAGAGAGTACGTAGTAACTTTATTCTGAGCTGCGAAGACAAAATTTTCCCGCGTGAAAGACAACCAATCATGCGGACGAAGGTGAGATGGATTCATCTATTGTGAATCCAGTCATCATCATAACAACCACTATAGTGCTGTGGAAGGACTCGAAGGTGAACATCAAATTAAAAGGGCTAGACAAAAGTTGGTGCAATACATGGATGGATAGACTGATAGTCGGAAGATGGGGGAAAATGTAATGGCGTCAAGTATCTCGAGATTGGTCTACACCAAGTGCGATTTGAGTGCGCTCAAAGTAAATATGAGAATAGATATGTCTCAAGTGTGCAGGCTACAGTCAAACTATTTGGACTGATCATATGGTACAACATGATCTTAAAGTGCACGTGTTATTACAGAGTTTCCGAAAGAGTTCAATTAGTAGAAGTGGTAAAAAGTATGAGTTTAAAAGCAGGGTGAAAGTGTTTAATGAAAAAAGCCCAATAGAATTAATACGCCTAACCGGGGAACAGACTTCAGGATAACTGCTTCCATGCGGGGTATTCCCTCGAAAGGTTTCATCCACACTTCCACGTCCCATTTGACTTTGTGTCAGTGTGGCATAACAGCAAGCAAGCCATCACCATACTAGCTCTTTCTTATGGCCGTTCTTATATACAAAAAGTAATAGGCTCTTATATAAGTGAGCTCCCATGTTTTCGCTTTTTGTTTCTCTTAGACGATTCAGTCCATTTCGGCTTCCGACTCTTTCAAATCTGACATCTTTTCCACTTGACGAGCGTGTGCCAATTTGCCTTGAGTAGGCAAATCTTTTCAAGCCAGTAAGCCTGTGACAATTCGCCACATGTGAGTGTATTAAATAATCCGGAAGCTTCATTCCATCACCTCATGAGATCGGCCGTCGTAATCAGCAATGAAAAAATGAAGTATAGAAGGTGGCGAAATACAAATAATGATAAATGAGGGGTATATATCCAACAAGTTCTGCTTCAGGTTGTAAATAGGGAATACAGCATAAATAAGGAGGAAACGGCTCTATGAACGATTTGAGACAGATTCAGCGATTCCATGTAACCGAGGTGTAAAGTAATTGGTGTAGAAAGTGGACTTAACAGAGTATCAAGAAATGCCACAGGTAGTCGAGTTGTTTTCGTCAGAAAAGAAGTGAGAGCAATTAGCAGTGCGCAGCAAATGTAGAGAGAGAAACACACATGTTTTGCATGGCGAAAAGCGAGATAATATGATGCTGGTATGGGAACAAGCTTAACGGTGTAACTAAACGAGATATTAATCAGACATTTTACACATATCGTGTACTTGTCCCTGTGTAGGTATACTTCAAATTCTTCATACATCGACTCCACTGTGCAGTCCAGTTTCTTAAGTTCCTTGCCTTGCAACAAAGTGAGGTACGTATTGATAATTTTCCAAAACGATTGTTTATACTCATATACTCGCACTTCAGTAGCTGACTGATCCAGATATACGAGTACTTCGTCAGATAAAACTTCCTGCGTATGCTTGTTTTTGTTCTACTTGTGAGAAGCGAATTTCTCTTATTCCAGATGTTATACCTTTCATTCTGAATGAAGTGTATACTAGTGTGCGGGGCAAATCCTCGTTTGTGCACTAAGTCGAACAGAAGTTTCAAGCCTAGTTTTAACCTCCGTAAGCACAACGGCTCTAATTCAAGCAGAATACAGCGCTCTGAACAGTTTGGTGTTGGGGATTCGGTAAATAGGGCTTTTGGTGCATCGACGCTGCACATTCTCCAGGCACAGACGATCACGTTTCCTGCAACTAGTAAATAGCGTCGAACAATATTCCAGAAGAGAGTGCACACAGATCTTGAACATAAGCAGCTTGGAGTCATGCAATATCAGTGATTTGAAGATTAACCGCGCTGTTTGGCTTTGGTTGCTATGAATTCGATCTGCTCCCCGAAGTTGAAAGTGCTTGAATAATGAATACCCCAGTCACTTATTCTGTTGCGGAATGGAAGTGGCTTTCCACAGAGGTATAGGGTGTCCATATCTATTTTGCATCGATATGCTAAGATCCCGCATTTATCCGCAGCGAATGACATTTGTTAGTTGTTACACCATCTTCCGACAGCTAAAAAATTACTCCGTATCTTAGTCAAAGTGTACAGTACCTTAACATCATCATCAAAAATGTAGGCTGTACCATTTTAATAGTTTCTGTCATGTCATTAATGTACATCAAGAATAGCAGCGGATAAAGGACACTACCTTGGATCACACCACTAGGAACAACCAGCGGATGATGACCTATGGATAGTTATTTGCACCTGTTGAGTGCTATCAGTAAGATTTGACCTAAACCAACCATGCAAGGGGTCTATGATGCCAAATTATGACAGTGTCCATAGCAGGTTGCGATGCGGCACTCTATCAAATGCTTTTTGCATGTCTATGAAAAAGATGATAATTGCATGGCCATTATCCACAGAGCTCGTTAAAAAATTCAGGAATTCCAGCACGCATGTTTGGCATGATCGTTTCTGTATAAAGCCATGCTAAGTCTGGTTAATAAAGTTTTGTGAGAGCAAATGGCTTATTGTTTTCTCTGTGACCATTCGCTTCATTACTCACGTAACAGCAGGCGTGTGACTAATCGGGCGGTAATTTCTGATGTCTGCTTTTGGGCCATTTTTGCGCCTGGGCCTGACTAGCGCGAATTTCCATTGAAATAGAAAAATGCCCGACTCCATGGACATGGTAAACAAGTTTAAGAGTGAAAAATGGCATTTCATGGCCACCGTAGTTTAGCAAGGAAGTTGGTTGACCTTCTGGGTCAGGCTAAGAGGATGACCGTAGTCGGTCTATGTGGTGCTGAATACCTCTGTTGTTGCAACTCACCGTGCTCAGTTTCACAACGCTATTAGTTGTTCTGGATAAAGGTACGCCATATAGAACAGTGAACGATGAGATAAAGGGATTATTTAGAGTAGTTGCTATTATGTAAGGATCCAAAGTCAGAGATTTGTCTGGTAGAGTAATGGCGGAAACTGTATCAGGTTGGATTGTAGTTCGTGTCCGCATCATATTGACTAAGTCACTGGATTTGTCTGCATATTTCAGAGGTCGTTTCTCTTTAGCCAGTAATCTCCGTGCTGTTTTTAACTGAAGTTCAGCAAGCAGGTTGTCGTGCATTTTCAATAAGGAGAAATCAAGCCTCCGTTTAATCTGAGTACGTACTTTCTTTAATTGCCTTAATAAGTGCGGCGTTCCTAATGAAACATAGTCACTCCATTGTTGTTTGATCGGCGCAAGGGTATCTAGCATTTGTTGGAAGTTAGCATACGTTTTATTAGCCGTAGTCTGTGGTTCTTTTGTAAGAAACAATAGATGCAAGTTCGTTGTTCGCAGAAGAGACGAAAATTTATCCCAATCTAAATTTCCAAAATCTCTACCTGGCGCCAACGTATGCAAAGGATGTGGTTTCGAGATTATTACTGGTAACGCAAAACTGCGATGTAGCACATTACGATCGCTACATGGAAAGAGAGACAGCACGTTCACAGTGGTGTTAAACATCATGAGTAAATACTAAGTCCAATATATTGTTACCTCTCGTTGGTTTTTGCACGGCTTGGGACCATCCCAGTAGCTGGATTTCTGAGATAAGACTCATGAGTCTAGGTGGTGCAGACCACTTTTTCCAGGAGACATTTAGCATGTTAAAATCACCCCCGATTATTTTGTGAGCGAAAGTTAGATCAGAGAAGTACTCAAAAGCAGAAGATAGATAATTTAAGTGGAGGATGTCACCTTGCGGAGGGATATATACACAATCTATTGGGTATTGTTCCACTCCACAGAAACCCAGACGGATTCAGTAACGTTGTTTAGCTGTGGGTTCGATATTGGGTGGATAAATAGCTGTTCCCGAGCATAGATGACGCACTCACCACAATTGCCCGTATGACGGCTACTCATGAAAGAGGTGTAGACCTCAGACCCAAGACAACCGCTGCATTCCTTCAAGCAATGAAAAAGGGCTAACTTCGAGGGGGTGCACACAGGTAGATGCGGGCAAAAGTACGCCGATTAAGGCGACCAACAAGTATCTGATAACGTGGCCTAATCGACGCAGCACATTCAACTAAAATAGGCCATCCAGCGGTCCTTATTATGTAGACCACCGGCTATGAACAGTAGTTCGCAAGCGTTTGTGGTCAAACTCGTTTGATGTCGTCGAGGCATATACTTCGCGAAACACGGCAGGGAGAGCAAAGAATGTGGGTCATTGAGTAATGCCAGCAGATGTTGACCCCCATCTACTACGGAGATTGAATTTTCCTAAATTAAGCTTACCTTGAAAATTCGATTAATAGAAGGGCGGGGTAAACAGGGTCCGTTCTGCAAGTGCACTACAACCAATGCAGTGGTGACTGTCCGAGCAGGTAGAGATACGGCAATCGACCATTGTCAGCGTCAGTAGGGGTGAATTTGAATTCACAAGATGTAAATTCGGGAGCCAGCATTCCCTGATTAATAAATCAAACGAACCAACTACATTTCAGATATAGTGAGTCTGGTTAACCGTTCCTCAGTATTAGGCACAGATCCCCAATCTGTGACTGTGATCGAATCACTTGCTCTCATCCTGCTGATTTACTCGAGTCAGTGCTTAGAGTGAGTCGGAATAGCTCTGTGATGTTGCCAAGGGCGCACACCGTTT